TTAATCTAATTTAAAAGCTGAAATATATATATATATATATATATATATATATATATATATATATATATATATACTACCAGTCAAAAGTTGGGATACAATGTGTCCAAACTTTATTTATCTTTTTGCATTCTGCAAAAACATTATCTATGTGCATATGCAATGTACTTATTACATGTGATCGTTTGAGTATTTTATTTTATTCACCCCACCAGCCAGAGCAGCTGTTGTACCGATAACAGATGATAATAATTTAAATCAGACGTTATTCAACTTTTCCTTGAATTGTCAGATATATGTACAGTATATTAAATCTTACATATCATAGAACCAATCGCAAGCATTCAGGGACAGAACCCGGGAGGAAACTTGTCATTCCGTTTCTTGCTCAAAGACACTTGCAGACAGGGGGAGACAGGCATCAAGATGATGAACCGGTGGTTATAGAGATTCTTGCTCTACCCACTGAGCAGTGGGCATCCCATATCTGTTTGATCCCCCGTAACAGCAACATGCCAAATCTTCAGGGAGCAACACATTACACACAGGCCCCGTGCATCGGGATAAATAAGAACTAGTATCCAAAAACTTGGAAAGTCTTCCCACAAATCATTTAAATAACATAAATGTCTTGAAATGACATTTACATCTTTACCTTGCGGAAAATCCACTATCTATGGCACGTGCTTTTCATTTCAATACTGCCGTCTTCTACTTCACAGAGAAGTATGTTCTTAGTGTCTGTGTAATCGACATTTCAAGTTTCCAAAGTTACAAACTGGTCCAGAGGTCCAAATATAATCTGGCTCATCTGTAAATTTCTTGAACTTTGATGTAAGGTAACAAAAGGAGAATGTTCCCCCTCTTGCAGATGTGTGTGAGAACAGCCTTCCACTTTGAAATTCCAGACGTATTCAAGGTCAAACATCAAGGTTAAGTCACAACATGCAAAACACAATTTTAGAGCAGAGGGAGGCTTTAATAACAATATAAATGTTATTTATCTTATGCACCTGCAGGCTTCAGGTTGCCTCTAATTTTCTTTGATTTTGGAATATTTTACATTAAAACGTATGGAATGGGTTCTGTTAAAAGACACTCCTCTAATTAGGAGCAAATACCTCCAGATTATCTTACCATCCCACATGCTCTACAATGAAAGGTCTCGGCTTTGTGAGACTTTTTTTCAGTAGCTGGAGCAGGTGCACACGGCTATGATTTGCCCTCTCACTAAGAGGAGAATCATGTCGTACGCCACTCTTCTGCAGAAGCCACAGTGGAAGGAGAGAAAGAATCAGGTGTGAAGGCAATAACGAGGAGAAGACGTGAAAAGGCAGCGCTGCTTTTTAGACATCTCTGCTTGTTGCTCATGAATAACTCATTGCATTACTCGGCTGCGTGACAGCGGCATGCATGGATTCCTCCTGACCACGCTTACATTCAATGCACAAGCAGAATAGGTGAAAAAAATAACCGTATCCTCATTTTGTTTAACCCCTCCCTCAAAAATGGAAAATTAAGCCCATTTTCGTAATTTAAATTATTAAAATATGACATGGCCCAGTGGCTTTTTCAATATGCTATAATGGAAATTGGTGTCTGCTTTAGAGAAGTGAACCGGCACGAGGGCCAGTTAACTGGACTAACTCCGACTCTGCTGCTCCAATGCTACCTTTCTTTTTCACAGAGGCACCTTCAGGCTCCTAAATAACGGCACGGAGTTGATACCCGACACATTCATATATTTAGTCAGAAACTCTACGGTTGTTCCTTTTCATCTGTATTTATCCAGACAAGGGCTGCTGAGTGTGCATGCTGGAGGAATTGCTGAGGTTGCAACAAACAATGTCTCTTGAAACCCCCCCTCCCACACACATACACAGGATTCTAAAAAGTCGCTCTAGAGATCTAGAGTGTAAAAAAGAATATTTAGCTACAAGTGTATTATACATACAATGAGTGAACCTATTCAATACCAGTGTCAGTCTACCAATAAGTGCACACTAAGGCACTTGAATGAAGCGCTCTTTTTGCCGGCCGAGCTGACTGGCATGAAGAGTAACGGTAACAAAATAGGGTTTTATTTAATTAAAATATGTAACAACTTACAAACGTAACAATAAAGTTTTGGTTACATAAAATATACCACCTGAACAGAACTCAACTCTGGCCTTTCTAACTTGGCATAGCTGAACAGACGTAATAGACCTAACGAAGTGTTATAGTGGAGTTATTTACTATGGTCCCCCTGTTGGGGCTGATGTAATAACGTACGGTGTCCACTAGATGGAGACATTTAATCTGCTGCGATTCGATCATGCAACAAGATGTGAGCTTTTCATTTAAATGCTACACAGGACCGTGCAACAGATGCCTTTCCCTCCACTGTACCTTAAAATGTCAGCTAGTTAGTTATCGCTAGCCAAAGCAGAACAGGATATTATTCCTTCTTTTGAGTTAATGCTGTCCAGGCAGCAACATGTTACTTAACGTTACCCGGGGAAACAGCAATCAGGCTTCACATTGTCGTTGAAGCCGCACGAGTGCAATCTTTTTGAACATAAAAAATAAATAGATTACGTGTCGCTATACGTACAAAAAAAAAAAAAAAAGAAGTCACCACGACGAATAGCTCACACGGTGTTGGAAAGAAATGAGTGTAATGAACGTTCTTGTAAAACCTCTATGAACTACTTTATCTAATCTAATTAAAGCCGCAGCACAATTTAACATATGTATTTTCCCACAACCAGACATCGGTGTGGTTTGCAGAGAATCATTTTTTTGTCCACAAATGTCTCATACCATTGTTACTACTGCAGCACAAGTTGGGTCATGGGAGTCTTTTAGATACACAGTGTGAATAACAGAACATCACTGCCACCATATGGACTGACCAAGAGTCAAAAACTGTATTTTTAAAAAGGCTGAAAGACAAGCAGGGTGTGAGGAAAGAAGAATCGGGAAACATGTCTTCAAAGAGGGTGTTATACATTTATTATTGAACCTGCTTTTGAAATCCAAAAGACGGGGTAAGGGATTAAAAAAATCATTGCACTACTTAATAAAGTATTACTAGTAATTACTCTTATACAAAATGTACAAATGTTTGTTAAAAATGTCATTATCGTCACAACAGGCCTTCAAATAATTTTGGTTACAGATATAATACATAATGAAACTACTATGACACCATTTTATTTATAGAGTTTCAGAGTTTTAAAAGGAAAATATTCAACAACCCAACAGCTTGCATGGAAAAGATTGGCAAAATAAATCGATAAGCACAAATTATACTGGTGGCACCGATTTCTGACAAAACATAAATAGTGGGACTGAGGTAATTGCTATTGAACCAAGCAACAACAACAACAAAAAAACTGTCCAAATAAAACTATCCCAAGACACAAAATGGATGCATATGGTCACAAAAATGGCCTTTTACACCAAAGAAAAATATAGTTCCCCTCACCATTGCCATGGATATCGAATTTGTTTATACACGCACAACACTGACAGAGAGTCTCGTGAAACAAAGCTCTTCCTGGTTCTCTACGGATGCACTGCTGGTTCACTTTTTTTTTTTGGCAAACAAAAGTCAGGTTTGAACCAACGTGTTTGTCGGATCTCTGGATAGAAACAAGTTGTAGCTGCAGAAACTACAGTTTTGTAAAATGCTTCCCAGACGTGAGACTTTACGGCCGTGGCTGAACTTTCCAAAACAAACGTGAGCTTCTCTATAAGCTTCTAAACAGCGATCATTCCATTAGAAAAGCTGCTCTGTGCATAAGGTGAACATCGTTATCACATGGTGACATGGGCCTTACAGAGATTAAAGTCTCATTAAGAAACGGATGTGCACTCGGAATAAGAGAAGGGGATTTATATTTCGGGATAGTCTAGGTACCGGAAGTCAATGTGGAGTTTATGGAGGTTTTTTGATGCATTCAAATATTTGTTTTTACACACACACACACACAAAATTTGGTCAAACCGATCAGTGGTTTGTTCAGGGGAAAAAAAAGTGTGTAGGTCTTAAATCTATGTAATAAAGTGCTGAAGTGTCACAGCCACTCTGTGGTGAAGCAGTAGATTAACCGTGACCTTTAAATTCTCTAACCTGTTAACTGTCAATGCTGGAGAAATCAACACTAAACTGAAAGCTGCTTGGCTACAAAGACCAAAATAGACAACTGTTTCCAAAAGGCCTCGTCCCGAGAGAAAGATCGAGCTCGTATGAATGTTCTGGAGACATGTTATGGATGTTTGGCATTAACCAACAGCTATGTATCTAACCAAATCACATAATGTGCCGTGGGGAGAGAAAAGAGATAGTCCTGATTTGTAAAAATGGTTTTACAAGGACCTTAAGACGAGAAAAATATAGAAGGACGGACATGGAGTGATGGGGTCAAAGTTGTAGAGCGTATAAATGACGTGTAGCTTTGAGAAGAAAAAAAAACAGAGCAACAAAAACAAGTCTTGTTAACTTCAGCGGAGGTTTTTCTGGTCCTCCACGCAGAATTTAAACAGATTTTTTTGAAGCAAATCTTGGCTGTACATTTCTCAAGCTGCCCTCAACCTCCAGAGTCTAATTTGTCTGAAATTGAATGGAAAGAAACCGGTTTAATGGAGTCAATGCACTGTACCACGCAGACTGGATAAATACCACAGGAAAAGTAACACACACACACGTGTATAGAGAAAGCAGTCTATGTTGTGCTGTTCTGAAGAAGCTTTGACACAGTATCTTTGTCTTCCCTCATACATACTTCTGTCCCACCGAGGAATGTAAGAATACAAACACAGGAATTAAAATGGACTGATAGTCTCTTTACAATGGCATTTGAACACTAATAGAAATGATGATGTTAATGCTTAATTATAATAATAACTATGAAATGACAATAGCATTGGACTGTCAATTCAACCATACCGAGAAAATACACCTTTGTCTACGTGCACATGAAAATGTGTGTACGTGTTTCAGAGGCAATTTAAAGTAACCATGAGAAGAAGAAGGGCTCTAAAAGTCCAAAACAGAAGGCCGAGGAAGTCCAGCAATAAAGTGAGTAAGAGTCAGTAAAATGTTGATAATCCCAAATGAGAATGAATGTTCTGTGTCCTGGGGGACAAAGAGTGAAGGAATAAGGAACACTGATTTCTCACACAGTTATGTGGCAGAATGTGGCAGAGGAAGCGTATGATAAAACAAAAGAAGTTCACGGATTGGTTGTTGCATCCAAAAGGCCGACAGGGATTTAGGGTTTTGGGACTTGGTCACTCGGAATCCCGCTGGACCTCAGAAGCATCGGCCCGACAGATAGGACAGGTTCGGTTAGCCTGGAAGAAATGGAAAGCAAGAGGCTGTGGGTTAAACAGTGTAATTATATATATATATATATATATATATATATATATATATATATATATATATAAATAAATAAAGATCTGAAGACCTGATATCAGGGGTAAAAAGCAGGGTAATGTAAACAGGTTTGACCAGGCAGCGGACAACAGTTAACACATCTTAGTTATCCAAACAGCTTATTGTCTTTACTCACCTTAAGCCACTTGTCTACACACTTGGCATGAAACTCGTGATTACAGGGCAAGACCCTGAGGAGCTGGCGAGACTCAAAGTCACACATACATACCACGCACCTGTAAGACAAAGCAAGGTTGTTTGCTATTTTAAAAGAAGAATATCGCCTAACAATATAGATATTTTTTTTAAAGGTAGAAAGGTACTGACAGTGTCTGTTCAGATTGATGGTTGTTGGAGTTGAACCTGTATGATGGGAGCTGTTCTATATCGGCCTTAGTGAGCCCACGGGGCTTTGCCTCCCCCAGACGTTCTGCAAGGTTCAGCAAGGCCTGAAGGTTCCACACAGAAATGCAAAGTTCAGAATGGGAAAAAGTATGAAAAGCAGTCGTCTCTCTAGTCTAGATCAAAAGGAGGACCCTTTAATAAGACACATGTGTCTTATCTGTAGAGGAACAAGAAGAAGTCATTGTGAACGGTCAAATGACGTGGCAGCAGTGAGCCTACCTCATAGTTCTCCACCTCGCCGTCGTCCACATCCAGCTCTAGATTTATGGTGGGGGCCACATTTGGGGGCACAGGAAGCATTGACCTGGACGTGGTTAAAGACAAGGTAAACCAAATTTGGTTGATTGCATTTGTGACATATCGGAGACGACCCAAATCGACTGCAAATACACCCTTGCAGTTCCACATAAACTTGAGAAACACTTACAGGAAGTAAGGCAGGAAGCTGGGGTGGTAGGGCGACGGGGGCACAGCCTGCTGAGAGCGGTAACGCCGGCTTGTGAATCGGCGAGGCATAAAGTGGGGATAGGGCTGTGGAAGACGGGACAAAGGAGACTAAATTCATTAATTCCGTCAAAGGAAAAAAAGGCTTCATCTTACCACAATAATATATGCTAATCCAAACAAATGCTGTCATGGTGACAGATGTACTCACCACTGTAAAGAGCTCATGCGAAAGGGGGTCATGGTGCGATAGGAACTGGAGTGGCGTGGAGGGCGGCAGGGAGGAGGGAGGCTGGTGGTGATGGTGGTGATGGTGGGCATAACTGAAGCCTCCACCTACTGAGAGCTGCTCGCCCAGAATATCAACCTCATTTTCGATCCTCTGTAAAGGCTGTGAAGAAACCCGATACGTCATGGATCATGTCAAATGCACAACGAGCATTCTGATGGGATCAGAACTGTGCAAAAGACGTTCACAAGGAGTAGTGCAGGCTTTTTGAGGCTGCTAAACCGGGACAGCAGATTGTTTTCAATAGAATATTAATCCTTTCCTTTTGGGGGGGGGGGGGGGGGGGGATAAAAGACAGCCCTTAGTTATCTGACAAGAAAATGAATACAACTACAGTTCTCGTGGGGTCATTTTTTCACACAGAATGATAAGTTCATATAAATAAATAAATACAAAAGAAAGTCATTCACGTACCGATCGTGGCTGTTGCGTCTGGAAAGGCAGGAACTGTCCACCGTGTGTGGAGGTGGGGCGGGTTGTTTGAGAGGTGGGGGGGGTGGGAGAGCAGGAACTGAGTGTCACTGGACAGCAGCGAGGGAAAGGCATAGGGCACAGGCAGATGTTGCATTGAACAAGCCTGTAGCATCTGGAAAAGGGGTGAATAGGGAGAGAGAATTGTTAGAACTGGCTGATCAATGTTAATGTGCCACGTCTTGCCACAAGGTGGCAGCCAGGGACTGAAAGATCACAAACTCCACTTTGCTTTTTCTCCAACGGATTCATACAAGAGGCTGTGCAGCGCGAAGCCTACTTCCTTATGAACAAACAGACACACGCTGCTGGGCTCTTCTCACCGGGTGGTAGTGTTGTCCCGTGCTGAAGACCACACTGCAGGCGGGGACTTGTTGTTGTGACGAACACGTAGGGGGAAGGTGCTGGCCGCTACACAAAGGTGCTGCCAGACTGTGCGGAGGGACTGGGGTCACTGTGTAGGACACTGGCACGCTGCTCTGCTGCAACTGAGGAGAAAAAGGGTTTAATATGCAGCACACACACACAGTGTAACTTGAATCTATTTGCGGACTAACCTGTTCATGCAAGTCCATGACCATGGCACCCCTCTGCTGTTGCGTTGCATGATGGTGTTGCGGGTGATGGTGGTGAAGATGATGAGCAGCCGGGTGCAGTAGTCGCGGCGACAAAGCGGGAGGGTGAAAAGCCCGGGGCTCCTCCAAACCCGCCCCTCCGCCTCCAGCTGAAGGGGGCTGAGCGTAGACGCTGGGTGTCGGTGTCGGGTACGTCTGGTGTGTGGAGGGGTTGGGGTTGTGGCGGTAGTTTTCATCCTGGTGCTCTGATGGCGCCAGGCGAGGTAGAGGGCCCTGGGTGGCGGGGTGGTGATGGGGGGGTATGTGACGGATGGGTCTGGAGAGACGGCCGCGCTGGCGCCTCGCAGGCGGGCTAGAGGTGGGAAGAGGAACCGTTTTTCACATTTCGGATTCTCCCGTTAACCAACTCCGTGGCAGCCGCAGAAGAAATCAACCTACCTGCGCCTGTGGCGTGCAGGGGTGAGGCATCTCTCCGGATGGTAGTGCGGGTGAGGTTGTCTCCGACTTGGGGGTCCTGACTCCCAGGGGCGGATTGGGGGAGACGGGGTGGACGGTGGAGGGGCGGACGAGCTCAGCTGTTCCAACACCGACTGACTGGACAGCCTCTGGCGCTTTGGACTGGGGCTTTCCTCACTCTGCAGAGGGGAGGAACACGAAGAAACAAAAAGAAGGGAGGGAGAGGGTGAGTGTTGCGCTTAGTGACCCATAGCACTCGTATCAAATCAATTTCACGATGAGCAACGGTCCCCCAATACGTACTACTGCACAGACAGCTCCTTTGTGACTAGTGGCATTTCCTGTAGGATCCAGAGTGTGTGTGTGTGTGTGTGTGTGTGTGTGCGTGCGCGCGCGCGAGCGAGCGAAAGAGCGCATATACACCACCAGTGCTCTGAGACCATGGGGGTATAAGGTCACTTCCTCTTGGAGGGAGGAAATGCAAGACAAGTACTCACAAGCCCACGTGCGAGTCATACATACACACCCTCAACTGGAGAGCTCAACAAACAGAAGCCGGTGAGACGCACAAAGGCCGTGAAATAGGTGTCGTCATCAAGATTTAAGACCGGCTGAGGAGTTATCATAAACGCATCTCATCTGTGAGTCACTTCACTTACAGTCAAACAGTGACTTTCACACTCGGCGAGGCAAGAACACACACGCTCATGTATCCGTTCTTAGTCACGCTCCAGAACACAAGCCGTAGCTCCGCTCTGAGGAACACACAAGTTACTCAAGAGCCCACACACACACACACACACATTCATAGTCACATTACTTTTACCCCCTCTACTTACTCAATCCCTGCTTCCACCTCACCTCTTTGTGGGAGAGACGCGTTAAAAGTGTGATAAAAATGACTCAGCGGCTGTGACTTTCAACACACACTTATGCAGAGACACACAGCAACCTTGAGAGCAGTGTGATAGCTAACAGGAAACAGCTGGAGACCAAGCTGCAGAAACACGCAGTTATGGAAAGGCCTGCAGACATGCGCACATTCACACGTGGAAGGCTGCCACTGTTTGAGGGTGTAAGACCCATAAAAAACCAAAAGCCTTCTGAAGCGCTTCAGAGCAAGATGCTGCAGCTCGATCAAACAAACAAAGTGCGTTTCTCCTGCAGTGTTAAAAACACACTGAACGGGAGAATATCTGTGTGTTATGTGGGCAAGACAAACAATAAGAATGCCTTGATTTCAGCTTGACCAGAGAGGACCATGGGATAGGAGAAGGGTTGGGACGAACGCTGCACAACGGAGGAGAAAGGGAGAAGTGGATAGAATGAGTAAAGACAGATGAGGGAGAGAAGAAGCTCGGGCGCACCAGAAACCCCAACGACAAAAACGGATTGGTCCGTGTGTTTGCGGCCAAATAATTGGGGTGAATTTGTGTCCAAAATGACATGTTGCATCACTGAGCCTGTCCCGACACCGTACCGCCCCGGGATGTGTAGAATGAGATCTCTAGGAATTCAAATTTCCAGGAAATATGCACGGGGCAGTTTTGTTAATATATAATGAAAGACATCTAACTGCTCGATAAAAACGTACATGGTAATGTTTTTACATATCAGAAGACCTCTTCACATAAATTAACATCTGAATTATTCTCCGTATTCCTTTTGGTCAATGAAACAAACAAAAAAAATAAATGGTAAATGACATCATTAATTAAAGCTACACTCTACGGCATTTCTTTACATGCTGGAGGGCACCAGCGATCGACCCTTACTCCAAGCCCCCTCGACAGCACCCCCTCCTTCCCGACACCCCGCATTTCTGTACCAGCCTAACACCAACACCCTAGGGACATCTACTGTGCCCATTTTCATATCCAAGCCAGCTTCCTCCATCCCAAGCCCGACATATTCCCGCCTCACACCCCCTCCCCCCGAACAGCAGCCTCTTCCCATCCCCCCCCTTCGCTCCCATCAGATAAACTGAACCCCTCTGCCTCTTGCTCCCTCCCCCTTTTTCCTCTGTCTGTCTTTTCTGGCCCTGCTCTGTCTCGAAAACCCGGGACTGAGATCTGAGGGGACGAGACAAGAAGTTCTTAGACCGGACACACAAATACACACTCACACAGTCTTAACAAATGCAGACTATTGCCCATTAGTATGAAAGTTTGATGGGCCCGTCGACCCACATTAGTGGGAGGAGAGCGTTGTCAGACAAAGGAGTGTGTGTGTGTGTGTGCGCGCTCGCTCTCTCTCTAAGCCATATGCCTTCAAGTGGCCTTATGTTCTAATAGGATGTTTGTTGTGAACTTTTACACACACTTCTGGTCCAAACATGTTTTCACTAAAGCCAGAATGATAGAGAAAAAAAAGGACATGCTGACTCAAAACACAGACACAAATACTCAAGACACAGTGACTCGCAGCACAGCCAAGAAACATTGTGAACTGCTCTACGTCTGGTATTACAGCACATTCAGCTTTGCAGACACATTGTGGAGACCACACACACACACACACACACACAACACACCCTCAATTCCTTTCACTGTGTCCACATTCAGCGTGCACTCGCCAAGCTGGGCAGATATCCTGAAGCACAAGTACAGACACACCCTACCACATTCTAGTTCACCATGTACACACACACACACACACACACACACACACACACACACACACACACACAGTAACTGAGGCCAGCAGCTGTTGTAGCTTCGCTGTCAATGCCGAGAACCAAAATAAAGAGAGGCCCACAGAGTGAATGCAAATTTTCACCTACAACTGAGCCAAAGTCTCCCTTTTCTAGCTTTCATGCAATAGCAATTGTGCATGAATGTGCACACTGAGCAAATATGGTCATTTGCTTTTACAGATCCATTAATATTTGTAGACATGCTTCGGCTAACACTCGAAACACTTTGCCCTCCCCCACTTATTTTCGTTCCATCAACAAGATTTCAAAACCCATTTTGTTTCCTGTGTCACTGTCCCTCCCTCCGTCCGTCCCCCTCCTTCCTCTTCCCCTTCCCTCACTCCAACCAAGTCCCACAGCTGGAGCTGAACTCATTAGCAATGCCCCCTCCTTGTTTTCGCCCTCCCATCCCTCCAAGCTTTTTGCAACACCTTCCGCAGCATCCTGCCTCCCCTCTTCTCCCTCATCGTTTTTTGCTTTGTCTGCCAGCTTCGCTTGTGATGACGAATATAAATTTAGTGATTTACTTTAAATTTTCTTCCATTATGAATTAAAGTTTATGACCATGAATAAGTACCTTCAATGGGAATTAAAAACTATACGATGGGTGACAAATAAACAATTTTCGGCCTTCACCCATTATTTCCTACAATAATGGGTGAAGGAAAGTGAGTTCAACTGCCAATAAGGAATTTGCTTAAACAAACTTGATATTCCTCCACCCTTTGGAAGGGTGGGGGCATCATTGCCACAGGCAAATGCTTCAGCAGGCTCTCTGAACATGCATGATGGTTCAAATGAACAGCTTGGAAAATAATTCAGCTTTAGTGAAACATGAAGCAGTTTTTAAAAGGTGTGTACAGAACAAACATGACTTATCTTTATAGAACCCAACCAAAATACCCATCTTCAGCCCAAACGCATCTACATCCTTCACCCAGCTTTAGCAAAGAGAAGATAATCCTCATATTGAAATAGATCCATATATGCATTGTTGTACATGTTAAAGGGGTGTGGCTTACCTTATCGCTCTCATCGCCATATGCGTGATCAGGGTGGCAGTGGTAGGATCCGCCAGAAGCTCCTACAGAGAAGAGAAGAGAACGAACATCACACCGTGAGAAAAGATGTATCTGAAATCTGCCAGGTGTTCTTTTAGTACACGTTCATATAAAAAGTTGCTCAGTACCTCAGTAACTGATCTAGTGATAAACATGTTGTAGATATTTTTTGCGGGTGTCAAATACATCAAGGTATCAAAGAATGTATATTTCTACAAATAATAATAATAATAATAGCAAAAAATGTCCATGGAATTCCATTTGGACCACCAAGTGATTATTTACATGTTCACAAAGCATTTAACTTGACTAGCACGACTGTGTTTGATCAGCATGAACGTCGGTATTGATAGGTTTATTACTTTACAATGTGGATATCCACAACATGTTGACGATACTTTTGGATGAAATCGATAGCACTGTTCTACCCCGACGTTGTGGAGAGACTCCTCTTAATCTACACAGCAAACCTAATCCTTTTGTTTTTATTGTTTTTGTGCAACTTGGATTAAATACCCAGCAGCAAAAGAAACAATGACAACATGTTTGCGAGAAGGGTACCGGCCGTGTGTACAGTAGAAAAGTGACCAGACGCATATGGCATACTCTTTAGATCACAGCCAGTAGACGTAGGAGCACACACACACACAGACACACTAAAGCCCGTAATCCTGGATTAGAGGAGCCGATGATACCGCCGCTTGCATCACGGCTAAGACTTTTACTCCTTTGTTTTGCCACGACCCTGTCATCTTTTTATTGTTGTTTTCCCCTTTGTGGTGGGCATGTGTTTAGCCGGGGACGTTGTCCCCACAGATGGTGCCAGTGGAACACCGAAGGTGAGCACTACAGACATACCAGAGCTAAACTAGATGGGAGTAGATGCTAAATATTCTTTTGAATAACGCATTTGCTATTGTCTGCAGGATCTTTACTGCTCACAGCCTCCTGCTTTGAAGAATAGCTGTGATTGACAACAAAGAATTCCTCAATTCATTTAAAAAAAATTTTTTTTTTTTTAAACCCATTCCCTCTCCAATCCGTGGAAAATGAAAGGTTTGAAAAGGCGGATAAAAGTAATGCTTACATTAGTGTAGTGAAAACCAACTAAAGGGATATTTCCACCAGGTGCATTTGGGACGGTGAATCATTCGCGGGACGTCACACGTTTCTGTGAGACACTCATTCACCGGTCACAAAAAGGAGAAAAAAAATCCAGCTCCCTGAATATAGTCTCGCTCGCAAATAGTCCGAGACCGGTAAATTGAGTCAGACACGAGTCATCCAGTCAGAGGCCCTCTGTAGAGCTCAGAGGCTACAGGACGGGTTTGGGACGCTTCGATGACGTCCGGGCCACTGCTTGGAATTGGCAGACTGCACACGGCACACGCAGTTTAGTTTCCACACTCAGGCAAAGCTGAACGGCACCACAGCAATATGAATTCCAGCGTGTGTGGACACAATCATTTCTTCTCCAGCAGCAAGGACCTTTTAGAAGATGCCAATAAAAAAAAAGGGCCATTTCATGAATATTATACGCTTGAAAATATGTTAATACATTAAACGCACGCACTGTCACGGCAAGTTAGATACAGGAGTCTAAAGTACACATAACAGACACGCTGTAGGGCAATGGTAAAAAATAAATAAAAAATAAAAAAAGCTAATCCAAAAAAGGACCTTAAAGCATCAGAAGCCTCACGACGAGCTTTACAGAGTCAATTGTGGGAGTAATAGCGTTTATTGTTACTAATCTGGCACATTCCAGGAGATCTTTTAATCGAATGAATGAATGGGGTTTGCAATGTGACGTGGTAGCACACTGGAGAATAAAACAAGCCTAAAAATAAATAACGTGTACACGACCACAAAAGATTGCCCAGCGATTTGTAAAATTATGGATTGATTGTGAGGACATTTTGATGTTTTATTAACCACAAAAACTATTTCAAACCAAAGAGCACAACTTTGCAAGACAACAAAAACTGCAGAAAACTACCAGCGCATTCTGGTGTTTTGGAAAAGTTAAGAATATAATAATTAGGGTATATATAAATAATAAAAAAGGTACACGTTTCATCTGAAGCACGTAGGAGAAAAAAAAAAAAAAAAAAAAAAGGAGGCCGCTTGGTAAAGAGGGAGATCGACACGGCCTGCATGACGGCGCCGGTCTGTGTGAGGAAGAAGGCAACATGCCCAATAAGAAGGCAGCAAAGTGGCGTTACAGAGGAAGAGGAACGATGGAAACGTACAGGAAAGGGTGAGACCGCTAGGGAGGACAGGGAGATGAGAAAAGATAAGGAATGGAGGGAAAACACATAGGGCAGGACGACTGGAGGCGGAGACAGCCGTCAGAGAGGGAAGGGGAGCAGGGTGGGGGTTGTGGCTTCCCCTCTTGACTGCTATTGATTTTCTGTAGGCCTCAGAGTGCATCGGCTATATCTATCCATTTCCTCCACCTCTCCATCCCTTCCTCGTCCCTCACCCCCTCCTCACACATCCTCCTCCAACATCAACTCTCCATCACCATCCTGCCACCGATCCGTTTCCCTATCTGCCGGCCCGTCTCCCTCCCCCATATATTCCCCGCTCCTTTATCTCACAGAATCCACATTTCCTTGCTTTCCCACCATCGCACCATCTCAGCCCATGATCTTCATCACCCTCTTTGTCGCGGACTCTATTAAACTGCCCTTCATGTTGAAACAAAAACAAAAATAGATATAGCGATATGATGACAGATAACAAAGAGGGAAGAACGCACTGAAATATTGTCGACTGCAACAGAACATGTCCCAATTTACACACAATCTAAAGACAAGTTAAGCCTGTAAGAAGTGTAAGACGTGCCTACACGCAAACCCAACACACCTCTCGCATCACCCCGCCTTCTCAACACATGGCACAGCACACTTCACACCCTCGTGCAAAGCGGAGTTGAGGGGACAAGCTGGCGTACGGGCTCAAAATAGGGTGGCAGGTAGCCTCCACCCAGCCATTACCTGCTTGACCCTGCTTCACGGAGGTAAGCCCTAGTGTGTGCGCGCGCATTTAGAAAGGGGACAAATTTTCCATCATTGTCCTCCATCCATTTACTGTTCCTTGCTCCCTTTCTCATTATTTTGATCTCCGTTTAGTTACTGCAGCAGTGCCTGAGGTTGCTCCTTCATCCTGAAAATCCAAAATACTCTCCTTCCTCGACCAACCAATCACCAACAAACAAAAAGGATTGAGACTGTGTGAGCTTTAACTACAGTGTATATACACATTACATACATTTTAATTATTGTCCTTCCATCAGAAATTTAAACATAATACCCACAAACTGAGGCATCAACTCATTAAAACTACATTCTGAGGAGCTGCACAGCAACTACGTGTCAGAAATGTAACAGCTCCGTGTTTAACCAACAACACGTCTTATATACACCCAAGACCAACGTCAGTCAGTCAGCCAACCTTACTATAACGATGTCATAATAAACCCCTGAGAAACAGACAGAGGCTTTTGTGCAATAGAGCGGTTTGGTATAATAGGTGAATTTAAATACACCAAAAGATGGATATTGTCAGCCGGTTCTAGCAACCTCCATCAACATCTCCAGACTTGCCGTGCGGTGTTCATCGCCCTGCATGTTCATCGCCCGCTCACTTTCCATAACCGGTAAACACTGAGGCAGAAAGACAGCAACAAGATCTAAGGAAGGGCACAGACGGGTCCATTTGAAATCACCAACGAACCAAGATATGAACAAATTCTTGAGACTTGGGACATTGCAACAGAGGCAACCAGTTCAAAATCCATGCGTGAGCTGGTAAAGCTTTGCTTGCGAAGCCCAGGCCTCGGACTGTTCCCTGAGAAGCCAGGGGGCGCATAAACCCCAAAAGACAACGAGTGTCATCTAAAAAGAAACAAATAAAGGTTGAATATGGCGGAAAAAAATTACTCAAAATTAACATTGTCAAGACCACCCGCCTCCAAAGCCTTTCAAATTAACATGGCCTTCATTGTATAACCACTAGACAAGTGCTCCACCGCCAAGTTACAGAAATTCAGAGCTGACCACTTGCAAGTTGCTGCCGTGATTAGGATGCTGCTTTTTCTTTTAGCTTGGTGAAAGGGGTCCAAACAGTCCTGCCACAGATGAGTACGGCATATGATTTGAAATTATAGGATGGCAATGTGAAGTATACTAATTGAGAATATGGATAAGAAAGAGGTGGGTATCTATAAGCTTTTGCTTCCCCCTACTCCTTTTCTTGAACAAAAGGTGTATTTTCTCTTTTTGTGGTCTACGTCTATGTTGATTTTTTAATTTTTTATTATTTGGTGTCTACATGTTCAAGAAATAAAATTCTTCAAATCAAATCAAATCAAGTCCAGTTAGAGAGAGCAACAAAAAAAGTCTAGCTGCCCAAAGACTGACTCCTAAAGAAATCCAGCATCGCACCGCTGGGTATTCCCACATCGACCGGGATGGGAGACCTACATGCAAACAAGCTCTCCCTCACTCAAAATGAATTTGTGCATGCATTTCTCACACCTACGTCTACCTACACTCAGCCCTGTACAGACTCTAGTGTAAACACGCAGGACCCCTCCCAGCCGCGCCTCCATCTGCTCCCAGTCGCTCTCTGCTCCAGTTCAGTTTTTACACCGACTGGTCCCCCCCCCCCCCTCTTGTAATCTCCCTACATTGACCATCTCTCTCCGATCCCCTTTTATGAGTACGTATTTTTTTGTCGAAACAAATCAAGAGTCCTATGCCTGGGTTTGAAGCTAATTTGAGGGCACTGTCTTCTAGCCCCAGGACCTTCTCTTGCTTACCAACGGGGCTGCTTTGTCGTTTATTTGGAGTGACAAGAGTAGCAGGGAGCCCCTGCCATTTGGTCGATCCATGTGAAAGAGTTTCCCTTCAAACTGGAGGGGGTTGCTTGGGAGACAAGACAAAGGAAAGTATCAAAAAAAATGTAAAAGCACAGTCTGACCTTAAATAAATAAAATGATCCAAAGGGTTGAAGAGGGGACAGGCTGTGACAGAGGTGGATAAGAATAAGGACAGGATAGCAGCTGCTATAGAGTCAGATATATCCACATGGACCAATTTGGCAGCAGTTGTAAGCATTTGTTTGGGAACTTAGGCCTAAGTGCTTTTACATTTTCTGTGCTTGAGTCTACATTTGAGTCTCTTTTTGCCCCTCATTAGACAGGGTAACTTCCTAAAAAAGGTAGGCAAAGCCAAGAAAATAGTAAATGAGATAAAATGCCCAAAAAGGCATTAGGCAAAAATGTGAGCCCTACAAAGTATATAAAAGAATGAGGCACAAAAAGGCCGGGAGTTTTAGAAACGGACAAGAGGAGGGATTGAAGAGTACAAGATATCATTAGCTTTCATGCCGAACGCAGGTGACTAGCACAGGAAGAATGGATGAAGTATCCCTCCATCTGTCTCAACAAGCAGGACCCTTTCTGGAAATAGAGCCGTCTAAAGAAATGTGTAGTTTGGGAAAGATCCAGCTGGCCAGCTGCTTCACTTGTGTAAAAGAATATTCAAATAGAAAATTAGCCCTGAGGCTTCTTCTGGCGAAGTTAACAATGCAAATGCTAGAAGAAAAAATTATTTAAATATTTTTTTTTTTTTTGAAAAAAAAAACAAATTTTAAAAAAAAAGCGCTTTTCAGCTACAAAATGAGGTATAACCTGTAAAACACTTTATGGTTTCTGCTCATTTTAAATAGTATAAATACACGAAACTATTTTCTTTTCTCCATTTTACTTTTTTCTGTGCATTTCACGTGTAATTTATATGAATCCATGTAATGAATTAGTGTCCATAGAATCTCTATTCAGCATCTACCCCTCTAGATCGAAATCCATTTGGATGGAAATACAATACAGTCATTCCAGCCATTGATTGGTGCTATCCGACATGTCATTGCCAAGCTCCTGTGACAGAGTATGGGTCGTAGGTCACAGCACAGCGATACATTCTGCAGATGACTAGTTCGCCGCCCCAACTTGGTCTTTTTTTTTTTACCTTTCTGTGTCTAAATGTAGATAGTCTGTGCCAGAATTTTCGTCCATATGACATTTGACAAAGTAATTAAAGTGAATTACAAGAAACTATTTGTCTTATGGTGCACATTACAAATGCAAAACCAATCGCTTTCCATTGTTTAACTATGCAAAATAAATATTCCTCAATGCAAGCAAAGAAATTAAACGACTAAAAGGATTTTTCTAACCTGAGGAGCCAGTTTGCTGTGCTGAAATAAAAGCTCTCCCAAAGCCTCGCTGATTGTGAAACTCTAGCTGTGTCGTTTCTATGTTGTTTGGTCCACTGCACTGACATCGCTGAGAGTGGCCTCACACGTCTTCCCCATCGACCGCCGGTCCAGTCACACAGTGCACATTTTACATTGCAAAGAAGGACAAATACCAACGCATGGTTTACCCAGATAGTGACTGGTAGAGAACCCGCAAATCTGAAACTGAATATGTCCAACCGGCTCTACAGACCACACAAATATCTGGAGGAGTCCCTGTTTTTGTTACTTAATTGCCAAACGCCGTGGTAATCTAGCCAGCATTTTGACCAGAAGCCTAGTTTAGAGAGAGTAGTTGATTTAAAGACACGTCACATTGTTTTAAGAATAACTTTCTGGGCGACCACCTATTCGAGGCAGTTCAATAAGTTCGAGGCGACTCCCCCCCCCCCCCCCACCCACCCACCCAAAAAAAGGACCCATGTTGATTTTTTTTATTCCAATGAAAAAAATTGCAACTGGAGGACAGGCGGCTCCTCTGGACTCGCCTCTTGAAAAACAGCCCCCCGGGGTAATTGAACCTCGACATCCCTCTGTGCCACTCGGGGATGGGTAAAAAGGCTAAAGTCGAGGGAACCGGCTGATTCACTCGCCTCCCTGGGCCAAAAAAAATAAATATTGACCTCCCACACCCACGGAAGTCAGTTACAGCGACCAGCGGGGGGACATTTAGTTACCTGCCGCCGGGACGCGGTGTGCTCCGGGGACAGAAGACAGCCTCTGGCCGCCCGGCGCGGCGCTGCTTCCCGGGGCTCGCGGCTGGTTCTCCGAGAGGATGGCGTGAGCTCCAAGTGGTTCGCAACCGGCCCCGTGTTGCTGTGGATGGAGCTGCTGCTGGTGCTGCTGGTGTTGATGGTGCTGCTGGTGTTGATGGTGGTGGAGATGAAGGTTAGATCCCGTCACTCCGCCACCGGTAATTCCAATGCCGTTTCCGCCCCCGTACTGCTGGTAATATCCAGACCGAGAACGCGATCGAGTCCTTGGGGGCTCCATGGCCATGTGGTGGTGGTGGGGGTGGTGGTGGTGGTGGTGGAGGGGATGGAGGGGATGGAAGAGAAAGGAGGAGGAGGCGGCTGGTGATTGCGGCGGAGAGCCGTTGGTGGATCCGGGCTGTGCAAAGCCCCTAGCGCCGCTCTGGCTGTAACTGTAGCCCAGTCCCCGGCCCCCCTCCGCGCCCCCGTACTCCGTCCGCTCCGCCGACTCCGCCGCCCCCGCCTCGTCGAATAAATCAACCCCTTTGGGGACGGGCTCCGGGGTGGAGGGCAGCCGGGGGCAAACTCTGTGCTCCCGAGTCGTTGGCTGTCCAGTGGCTGCGATTGGCATTTCCTTTCGGGGGATTTCCTCTTTTTCGTGTGTGTGTGTTTGTGTGTCGCGCTGCGTTGTGTTTTTCCTGCCCGCTCCTCTCGTTTCCTCACACAGAAGCAGCTCCGAGTCGCTGTTTGTAAATACAGAAAGTTGGGAGAGTGGCGAGCGGTTAAACCGGGCTCCTTTGTTGCGGTTCAGAGAAAAAACAACACCCAACGGTTTCAAAAGAAATTGTTTTATCCGACATTCACGTGTTCCAACTTTCTTTTTGGGGGGAGGGAGGGGACGTTACCTACTTCCCTTAAGTTTATCCAAGCAGCGTTACTGAACCCAGCGTGGTTCTCCTAAACCGGTTCAACCACTAACGTAGTCCGGCCGAAACAACGTATGACTCGCGTTCTAAACTAAATCCCTACGGATTTACCAATGTAGGTTTACATACTTACGGTGGGAATTAACAGGACGGTCGTTTTTAATCCAACGGTAACGTTTTAGTTGTTAGTTCACAACAACCGAGCCGCCGAGTGCTGCGCGCTAGCACGCCGCTAGGCTAACATGCTAACGTTAGTGCGCACAGCCCGCTGTGACAAAACGCACGTTACGCTCATTCGAGACCGCACAGCATCCGCGCGAGCGCTTCCTCATAGCGGCTTTTAAAGCCAGAAATACAAGTTCAATGCAACTTTGTTTAGTTTAAGAACCATTTAAACTCTTTTAGCTGGTATGCGTAATGTTCACTAACGTTAGCTTGGTAACCAACCCCCCCGACCAACACAGAGAAAAACCCCGTCGATTGCCACCCACGCCTCGAATCCCTTTAAATTGCTCGGTTAATAGTAACCAAACCAAAAGGGGGCTTCTACAAACTTATTCGCGATATATTTCATGGCGTTATGTTGACCCGGTAATGTTTTCCCACCTGGGGAAACAAACAACCATACAGAGAAAGATTTTTTTTTAAAAGTGGTCAACCTAATTACGGAGAAAGAACCACGGCTAAAATTAACACGGTCCTGAGGAATGACCCCGCCTCGGAGTCTACCGCTGAAAACCGGTCTAATCTCCCGTACGGAGTATGTTTATTTTAAATAAAATCTTACCTGCGATGTGCTCTCCACGACTGTACTCCTGACTTTGAATGCGTCGATAACACGGTGAGCCCAGCGTGTGAGTGTATGCTGTATGCCTGTGTGTGTGTGTGTGTGTGCGCGCGCTCTGTGTCAGCGTGAAATGTGACAGACCGTCAACGCTCAAGTCGGATTGCAGCAGGCATGGCCAGTCGATACCAGAACAAAGAAAGCGTTTGGAGTAGATTTTAGTATATGCCTCTCCTACGCATTCACCGAGATCAGAAGAAGACGAAATAATATTTGAAAATGTTTTTTGTGGCTGGTTTGTGTCCTCTTTATAATCAAACCGCTAGTTAATATAGTAGTATGAATTCGTCGAGGATCAGTGATCGATTAAATGCACTGGTAAATCAGGAGCTGCGGATAGCAGAGAGGCAGGCTAAAAGGGGCTTTAAATTATTTATTTACAAATACCAAGTCTACCCATTGCAGCTGTTTCTTCTGGAGCTGAAAGTTTGCTTTAAAAATAAGTATGTGCTGTGTTTACAAAAGTTGTATATATATAGATATATATCTATATCTATATCTATATTTTCTGTTTATCTATATCTATATAGCTATATATAGATATATATCTATATCTATATATAGCTATATAGATATAGATAAACAGAAAATAGGTTAATCCACCTTCTGTCTGAAATAAATTGGTCTAATTAAATTATTCACCATCAAGGCTAAACCAGCGGGAATGCTTGTGTGACCCTCTGCGATAGCGATGAATGAGGCTGGAGCTAGTACCTTTTTTTTGGTTCTGTTGTGACAAAATCATCAGGATATGGTCAGCATATTATATATGTCTGACAAACTATTGTTAAAAAATGCCTGCCTGCCGATGTGCTATGCATCATCTGTGTGTGAATGAGGGGTATGATGAATACTATGTGAAGGGAAGCATACATGTGATTTCAGTCCGTCTGTCCTCTCTCACACAGAGACTCGTCCCGAAACCCACCCCAGTCCATCTCACCTCCCATTACATATTCCCCTGGTCTTGGTCTTTCATTTCACACACTCTCAAACCCAACCTGTCAACACTAGTCCTAATACACACATTCACCCAACACACACACACGCACACATTCTCTCCTCATTACACTCCCCTTCCCTACTTTGATGATATGCAAATATCCCTCCCACCTCACCCTCCTTCCTTCACTCCTCCTCTCATCCCCCCTTCTCTGCCTACACACACACACACATTACACACATCACACACAATCACACACAGGCTAATGCGCTGTGGCAAGTCCACAGACAGGCGGGGAGGATCAATTTTTCACCCAGTATGCTACCGATATTCACAAGATAAGGCCTCTGAAGAGGGAGGGAGGCGAGAGGGGTGTGGGGGAAGGAAAGGGGAGCGACAGAGATGGGGATAAGGAAAATGGCGAGTGGGTGCAATGGAGGAGAGTGAGTCCAAAGGAAGGGTGTACAGAAAAAAAAGGGTGACTGGGAAACTGTGAGAGGGAAAAGCAAGAGGACTCGGGAGCAGTTACAGGAAGGACGAACACGGGTGAGAAAGTAGGGAGGGTGTGGGAAGCCTGGTGGGTGTGCAGGAGGGTGGAGGCAGGATGAGTAAGTGGGTTAGGGGCGGTAGGAAAGGGGGGATGGGGTGTAGAGGGCTCTGGGGGATGGGGTAGGGAATGGATGAGGGGGGGGGTAAGGGAAACCGAGGGATGGTGTGTGATTGTGGAGGGAGGGTATTTTGCTGACGTGCTCTCTTATTGGCTTGTTCAAACGCTGGGGGAGGGGCGGCCACAAACCATACTCTCACCAGCTGTAGGGAAGAGCAGAGAAACAAAGACAGAGAGAGAGGAGGGGGTGTAGATATGTGTTTTAATGTTGATATTCTGGTCTAATTAGATTCCTGTCTAAGTGGCGAAATGAATGGCGCTGATCGGATAGAAATGGGCGTTGCAGAAGAGAGAGCAGGCTTTGTTTCAGCTCTAGAAATCTGTTGTTAGCGGCACATAAGGGGCTCTTGATCTATAATTCAATTTCACTTGAGAGACAGAGGGGAGCAAATTGCCATCACTGTCTCTTATATCCGTATTCAAACTCACATTTATTCGTTTTAGTGCGGAAAATTAGTGCTTTGCCTTCTGAGGAGCAGCTGAATTTTAGAGGGCACATCATCGCTTTAATACTGCCAGGGTTATCTTATCATTATGAAATATGTTTTTGAAGGTATCTGACAGTGAAGGTGTTTCTAGTGATTCAAGGGATTGAAAATGTCTCAGTCTACAATGTTATTTACAAAAGCAAAAACACATATGGCACAGTACGACGTCTTCCTCGTCCATATGTACAAGTCCGAACATATTTACTGTCTTCAAACATGTTCGCAAAATTACAAGAGGATTAAATAGAAAGCCGGAACAGCAAAGAAAAATAAATACCATTCCAGCACACATGAGAAGGCAGATTGAGAGCCATGTGTTTGCGGAGCCAGCTGAACCTCGCCTGCTAAACCAGTCCGCTGGCTGTGACAGACAGACATGCAAGGAAGTACAAAAGGTTGGTGTGTGTGTGTGTGTTTTGTTAAAAGAATGCACAAGAAGAGACATTTAAACAAATGGGCAGATTGTCCAATGTAACCGGACAGAAAAAGAAAACAGAAAAGAAAAAGACAAACAGAAGAGACGTAGCAATATAGAGAAACATCCCAAGTGAAAGGGAGAGGGGCGCATTCTGTAGTCATACACGGAGACACGGAGAGCGAGAGCAGGGAGGAGAAGAAGCCAAGCTTTCTGTGGCTCAGCCAGACTGGAGCGGTGGGACTTGGCTGGCTGTGGACCCTTGGCTTCACTATTAAAGCGAGGGAGAAAAAAGAAAAATCATAGTCAAAAAATGAAAAGGGCAAAGAGCTATGCCAAGAATGCACAGGCAAGAAGCAACACATTAGGTTCTTTCCTTCTGCCTGCTTCTCTGTTTCCCCCCAAGCAGATCTAAACAATAGGTGGGACCAGCCATGAGAACTGAGCGCCATACGCGTAGAACCCTGTTGAGTGACGGAGGTCGTCTCTTGAAGTTTGGTTACTGTGCCGGATGAACACCTTAAAATTAATTTTCGTTTTTCTATTTCCCCATAAGTAACTTTAAGGGTTGTTAATATCATCTTAATCCTCACAGTCAGCTTCAAACACTATTATTCTTCTTCAACTTGTTCCAACTCTTCATTGAAGCTGAATGATGTTTACGCTCAGTAAAATATGAACGAGAAATGGTTGATGGCTGCATCATTTAATCCAAAGGAAACATTTCAAATGTCTTTGTGCATCATTCTGTAAACATGTTTAGCTTCTCAGTGCGGTTGCCGCTACCGTTGGGTTTTAATACAAATGTATGTGCGTTTGATCAGTGTTTGATCGCTGCATGCCTTGAGTTTGTAATGACTTGCCCATCAGCCAGACACAGTATGTGGCCACTAGTGTTGCTATACATGTTAAATCTCTAGATTATTTATCACACATATTCGCCAACAGCCACAAAAGCAACTCTGTGAGGGTGTTTTTAGGAAATCCAATGCTGTGAGCTAAGGAGATTCTCTTAAAATGATTGTACAATGCTAACAGGCACAAAGCTATCATCACCGTCTTACTTGTATTACTAGTATTTTTCCAGGATGACATTGAATTCGACGCACAGCCGAGGCTGATGGATATATCACGTCTTTGATCATAAACTGAAGCTTTGCACACATTGGAAACACATGACCCGAATGAAAACCTTTGCAAATGATTCTGAGGGGAACCAATTTCTTAAGCAAAACGTCATCTAACTGGTTGATGTTGCGGTATTTCACTGTGGAAATGTGACCTGCTGGTGGTGCTAGATGAACAGGACCATGTTTCATAATAATTCATCCAATTGTTGCTGAGGATTTTACTTAAAAACAATGGCGGGCCTAGAAAGTCAGGCATTAACCAATGTATATATGAATCATAGTGCCACATACACATTAACAGAGATGTTTTCTCCATCGGTGTCTTTACAGACCATAAAAACAAAAAATATCCCATAATGCAATCTGACTGACCCAGCTACTCAACTACTAATCATGCAGTAATAGTCACCATTCCATAATCATATCACTGGCATAGGAGGACTTACCGGCTTTGCCAGATTAATGATGAAAAACAGGGACTTGTTTTTCTGACTTTTCCATCCACTGATACCCTAAGTAGAGGATTAAAGCCTTCGGATCATTTGACTCCAGAAAAGCTGTCACAGAGGGGGATATTTGTGGAAAACACACCCCAGAAATGGCTAGCAACAGCATGTTCCACCAAAATATCTGACATGCGTGGCGGATGAGCACCAGATTGTCTTTGAAACAACAACGGCTGAGAGATTATTTTGGTCTTGGTTTGAAAGGTTAACGCTGTTTCCCTTGCTGCATTTGTTGGTCTGATGATTGAAAAGAAGCAAGAAAAGATAAATCCCGAAACAGACATTTTCAAATCGACAATTGCCATATCAAAGTCAAGCAATCAGGTATCACAAAGTGAACCACATGAGGTCTTTTGGGCTATCTTCATCTAATGCTGCATGTATGTGTTTACCATACGTATGTCTCGTACCGCTGATTGTGCGTGTGCAGAGACCCCATGACATATCCCTGGCTTGGGGGAGAAAGGAGGATGCCAAGGAATGAAACGTGATGAGGAGTGGGTGTGTGAGAAGCCTTCCAGAGGCTCCTTTTTGCCGTGTGTGAACGTGTGCGTACACACATGTGATCACGAGTGCATTTATGTGTGGGAGGAAGGAATCCTTCCAGCCGTTTTCTTTCCTGAGCCTCTTCCTGCCCCCCCCTCCCGCGCACACAATCCTCAAAGCCGGCGTCGGAGGGTTCGGCCTCAGCGCGATCCAACCCACCAGAGGAGGCAGAGGAGAGCAGATAGTGTGTCTCTCTCCTCCGAGCTCTGTCTGTTTCCACCACTCACTGAACGTGACTGTAAATCCTGTTCACACGAGAAACATTCCCACATCCCTCCATCCAGTTTGTGTATTGCATATGACTTGGCAGAAGTGAACCCTGAGTATGTGCGTGCCAGTGCAAGAATGTGTGTGTTAAGAGTTTTGGCAGTTTTCTCAACACAGCCTCACCAAAAGATCCGCTGGGAAATGTGGTTTTAACGCCCCCTCTCTTTTCTCCTCTTGTGTCCTTTCTCTCTCCATTTCACAATTACATCGCCTCTGTTTCTTAACGCTCTGCTCTGCTCTTTCTATTTCCTCCCTTTCCTCTGGTGCTGTGGAAATCCTCTGTGCTTCTCCTTATTGCCATTGCATCTCGCTCTAATGACTCCTATCTCTGCTTTCTTCCCCATTCTGCATATCAATTATCCGTGCTCTGTTAAAATAATGACATTTGCATTCAAGAACCCCGTAAGATGTGCATGCATATTGGCCTGTGGTTCAGGATGTGACTCTCGTAGCGCTGTCCACACACAATGAATGCTGATGGAGAGACATGATGGGTTATCCTGTAGGGAAGGATGGTCAAATGAAATAACTACTTGGTATTCAATCCCTCTGCAAAGCATGACACACAGGAGAGGGATGCTGGCAAATATGCAAATTGTGGAATACAATTTATATATTTCTTTACTTCATCTGGAAAAGTGTGAGGGCAGTGTAAATACACGTGTGCACGTGTGTACACACAAGCCTTCATATGTTTGTAAATGAACTAAGTAAATGAACTAGAGTACTTAACTGAAGTACTACTCCACTCAGAAATAAATAAAAAAAATCTACTTTTTACTCAACTATATTTATTTGAAGATTGTTGTCTGGAATTTGAGGTGTAAGATTTTGCATACATGAGCAGTTTATACAGCATGATGAAGCAATGTATACTTGTTATTTGTGAGATTTTCCAGGCAGTCATTCCTTATCCTCTTCATCGAGTTACATTCTTTCAGAGGCTTAGTTAATGCCGCACCTTAACAGGTGAATCATTATTGACGCAACCAACTTGTGTTTTGGATTTACTCCAAAGTCAAATGGTATTTTTATTAGCCCATGCTACATTTTTCCACTAACAACCTCTTTGACACAGGTAATACTGTATGGAAGAATAAAATAACAAGAAGCTTGATTTAAAAAGTTTTTATTTTATTGTTATTGTATACGTCTTTTATTTATCCTTTTTAGCATTTCTCTCTGATAGCATTTGCTTATTTTTCTTCTTACTTTTAAAATTTGAGACCAACACTGACTCAAGTCACATCACTTGAGGACATTTATCAGACTTCAGCAAGCTACCCGTGGAGACACAACAGCATTTTTCATATATGCATTACTCCCAGCACCTGTAAACACAGGTTCAACCATTCAAAATAACCAGCGACAACATAAAAAATCAGCTAAATGCATCTGTGAAAATCACACAAAAATACAATGCTGACAATGGTAAATGTCATAATAATGTCTTCCACGCTGACTCCAGTGGCCCCGTTCTGCTCGGCCAAGTTCATCAGGGTTCATCTTCTTTGTCACTGCTGAGCTGAGGCTGGAACACTGTCTCCATCCATGTGTCGGTCATCTCTCCTCACCCCTCTCCCTCCCCAGGTCTACTCCCATCACCCGTCCCGAGGGAAAAACACACACACACACACACACACACACACACACACACACACACACACACACACACACACACACACACACACACACACAAATACCTCCCCCTCTGTCTGTCCCTAAACCAACCCGACCTCACCCTGCGTCTCCCCCTCTGCTCTTTGACTGCAGACTCTTTTTGTGATGTCATTGAGGAAAAGTGCAGCCTTTTAGTTTGTGTGTGTGTGTGTGTGTGTGTGTGTGTGTGTGTGTGTGTGTGTGTGTGTGTGTGTGTGTGTGTACGTGTGAGTGTGTGGGAGCATAAAGGAGTGTATAGTGTGTGTGTGTCTGTGTGAGTCAGTGAGCGGGGGCGTGCATGTGAGTATGTGACAGGGAAAGAGAGATAAAGAGAGAGACGATGGACAGAAAGAAGGAGAGAAAGGCCCAAGTGTCAGGTTCCTCTTTTCAATTCAGAGGCTCAACTTGTTTTTAATCTAGAAAAGAGGGTGAAAACAGGAGGAAAGGAGATGAGACAGCTTGGAACTTGAGCTGCTGACAGCTGTTTTTGTCCCTTCTTTTCTCACCCCTCATTCTATCGTTCTGTTTCTGTCTCTCTCTCCACAGTGTCGTGCTGTTTGCGTACCCAAAGCACTTCTTTAAACACTAATACAACTGCCCATAAAACGGTGCCTGTTACCATGAAGAGAAGGTGTGTTTCAGGCTTTTCAACAGCCTTTCAAATCAAATCTTTCTCTCTTCCTGTGACGTTTCACTCACCGCATCCTGGTTTTGACTTCACTAGACGCCAAGTTACGGTAGATGCCGTCTCACCCTTTTCCTGTCAATCCTCAGCTCACACACACACACACACTCACACACACACACACACACACACACACACACGCTCATATATGCTCTCATAGGCTGTGTTTTTCTCACGACGCTGGCTGAAGCGCACGTAACACGCTGGATGTGAAATAATTACATACCATTATGGTAGGGTACTGTCCAATCTGTGGGAAGCCCGTCTACTTTGGTGAGTGTGAACCTCTACGTTTTTACTCTATGCATCTGTCGTCCCTTACCTGTCTTGAATATCATTTTGATTGTTTATCTCTCTCTCTCTCTCGCTTTAAAGCAAAAAGTATAGGACAAAAATTCCAGTTGCATTTATTTAAAAAGTGTTTTTTGTATTTATCGTCATCTTTTAGAAGAATATGACTGGTAAAATACAGGTGATACTCATTTTAACAATGGCTGGATTCAATTGAGCAGTAACAGTAGTAGTTGTAAGTAGTATTAAGTGGATACTGACTCCAAGACCCATCATTGTTTGCATCATTCATCACACCTCTACGGTTCCTTCCATGGCACGACTATATATCGGCTTTTTAAAGGGCTTTTACATTCATTGGGAGGTTGAAACATGTTTCGTTGATACATCTGGCTGTATTATCTGTTTGGAGGACAGAAAGGCGGCGCTCCTCACAGGCGTTCTCCGTATGCACACACACATATGCACGCACACGAAGCAATGATAACAACAGGATGTGGGTCTGGCCAAATGAGCTTGCACGCTGCTTTCTGGGTTTCCTGCACACCTTCGGCTCTTTTAGTTGAGTCCTCTCACACAATCACATCTAAATGCAAAGCAGCATTTGAACAAATTCCTTTGTTGTTTTTATTTCATAAGCTATTTTTTGGTTTTTGAAATGATGAGCCAGTTTGGTTGAAACCAGATGCCTTAATCTCACTTGTAAATCACAAATTACCGTAAAATCGAATAGATATTTTCCTGATTCATCTGATTGTCCCAAATTTCAAAGAATGAAGAGGGATTGTGTGCAATTGAAAATGATTTTCACATTTAAGTGAAATATCAATAGATTGAATGCCTTCCTTATTTTATCTCTGGTCCAGGGGAGAAGAAGAGGTCCTTAGGGAGGGACTACCACCCTCTTTGTCTCAAGTGTCAAAGGTGCAACAGACAGCTCACAGCTGGACAACATGCTGAGGTATGTGTGGATAACAAACAAGGAAATATGTAAAAGTAAAGAAAAAGTGATTATATTACCGAAAGGGACAATGCAGTAAATTCGTCCTGCTGATTGTTGTTTCAGTATGACGAGAAGCCATATTGTTCCCACTGCTACCTGAAGATGTTTGGTCCAAGAGGTGCTGCCTTCATAAGCAAACACACATACTGACACACACACACACGCACACAAACTGGCACCCACATGCAGTTTCTAAATATTTTTTCTCTGTGTGAATCTTTCTTGACAGGTAACAGGTGACGGATTTTGCCAAGGCTCAGAGACACCAGACTCAACCAACATGGGCAAATGTTGACATGAGCCTAAAGACATGAAAGTTCGGATTATTGGCCCTAAATCAAGACCAAAAAGATGGATAAATATGAATGACGGACAGATGTCTAACAGTCCGTCCACTTTAGTTGTCTATCGTTTACACCTCCACAAAATTAAGTATTTATAAATGTGTGATGACCACTGGATTCCACGTGTAGGTGATTGTTCACTTTTATAATGTTAATAAACTATGATTGTAAATTGTAGGTCTGTATAAATAAATGCATTTTCTAACATGACATCTCACATCCCGGTGGACGGCTCAGTCTCTTTGATGGGCTTTGTAATCAGGAGCCCGCGTGGTCACATCTGGGCACGCAGGGTGGATGTATCTACTCACACACTCTAATCATAGACAACACACATGCAAACACAAACATTAGCTGAGCTATAGGCTTCCCCCTCTCTACCCCACCATGCAACTGGGGGAAATGCAGAGGAAGGAAGGAAGGAATGATGGTGGTTGCTGTTGGCAGGGTAAACCAGATCTTATGCCAGCAGAATCTGCTGGAATGGGTGCAATGGGGAGGCAGATCACACACACACACACACACATCACACACACACACACACACATGCATTCATGCACACTGCTGCCTCTGAAGCAGTGTGTCTTGACTGCTGCAGGGGCTTGTCACCCAGTGGTGGGTGAAGTACATTGACACAAACACATACACACACATAGAGGAAGAGGTGTGCTGACGTGCTCCCCTGTGAAGTGTCATGTGTCACAAGAGTGACATTTCAGGTATTTGTCCTTGAAGGATGGGATGCCGAAGAAAATAAACGATAAAAGAGGCACAGGCAGAAACAATACTAAAAAAAGCTTTTGGAAAAAAGAAGAGAGGGGTAATGAGAAAGCTTGCAGCTTGTCTTTGAAACTGTCCCTCTCCTTCTCATCCCCCCATTACCTCCTTCATCCTCCCTCTTCTTCTATCCCTGCACTCTCCTCCCTCCGTGTCTCCTTCACCCCCTAACCCCCTACCTTGATATATCACATGACTGCTGTTATACCAGCTGGCTGACTGCTCATTAGCATGTGTTTCAGTTGTTCTCTTATTAGGGAGAGGGGCGGTGGAGGAGACGCCGAGTTGTAGGTCGAGAGGGGCTGAGGGGTGACGGAGCGCGAGTTACTGCTGATTGAGAGGAACTGTGAGGGCTGACAGAAAGCAAGCGAGAGAATCCATGGAATTATAGGGGAAACGAGAAGAGGGAGGGGGAAATAAAATACAATAGTAAATCAATGTATTATGTCTGGATCGCATTAGTCCAACGTGTCCAAACAGTTACAGAATGTATCAATATCTGTGCATCACAAAAAGGCCTATTTCAGTTCAGAAGCAGCCTGAAGGTAGCTCGGGAATCCCTCCTATGCTGGCAAGACGATATTGACACATGATGACGAACAACAAACGGAATAGTACCGTTTTAGATCAATAAAAAAACATGAACAGTATCTTCGCATAGGCCTCAACGGTTTTGTACTCTCTTGATATCTGTTGCCATCTAGTGGCTATAGATGGTAACACATGTCAAGGATGTGATTGCAAGGACAGGTGGGAGTTTACTCGTTTGCCAAATCTTGTACATTTTGAAGAATGTCAAGTAGTTAAATATTCAAAATGAAAGCAATATTTGTGTCAAAGAGCATCGCTTTTTGATTAACACAACGCAAAATAGGAGTCCAACAAATGGTCGTTTGTGTCTCAAAATTTAGGGACCTAGATAAAACCTTTGAAAAAGTTTGAGAGCTGCCTAACTTTGTCCAACGGGTTCATTGTGATTACTTGGTGTTGATGTATGATGTATGTATGGTGTGAATTATGGTATGGTGTGAATTATGGTATGGTGTGAATTATGGTATGGCTCATTGTTGGTAATTCAAGTTCCTTAAAAGATGAGACAAAGAAAACACAAAACAGGTGAACTTAGTTATTCCCTGATTGACTCCAAAAGCCATCCCAGCAAGTTTTGGCCTGCAAGAAATAGCAATAATTTAGGCCCATTGTTAAGTGTTTTGAATAAGTTTGAACGCATGTTTTATGGATTGTAAAATATTTCCTTTACATTCTACATTTATATAGTCTATTTGAAGTTGACACGTGGGATTTCCATAAAAGAATCGATAGAACTCCTAACTTCTGGTGAGTTCAGATTTCACAGGGAGCACCTGAAGGCAACTTATGTCAGAGGTGCGCTTCTGTCACGGTGCGCATGCGCAGTGGTCTAACTAGGAAGCAGAGGCGACTATGTGGACGTATCGTTGAAGGAAGCCGCTTTAGAATAATTTTCGGAGGGTTTATATACGCGTGGAAAGAAGGGAGTCTCTTAACAATGGACGGCTGATGGCTAGAAGCAAAGTCCGTGAAATTCATTTAACATTTTCATCGTGTGTTTAAAAAAAACAACAAAAAAACGGGGTTCGCAATGATGTCAGAATGCGACCCGACGGAGACGGAGAGCTGCGAGCCCGGGCTGGACACCGGGGCAACGGCAGCCGTGTCCGCCTTGCAGTGCGTCTTCCGCTCCCTAGACCCTCCGAAGGTGCTGTTTGACAGGAACGGGATAGGCTTGGGACCCGTGACGAAGCTCGGAGGTGCCGTTCGCATCTCGGACTCGTGTGAGAGCGTCTTAACCGAGCTGGAGACGGACGGGTCGGGCGAGGAGACGCTGCTGTTGCCGTGCTCAGCGGGGAGCCCGTCATCGTCGTCGCCGCGCGGCGTGGGAGAGAAGTGGAGCCGGCGGAACAGACGCAGCTCGTCGTCGGATAAGGACGCCCTGGCCTCCCCGGGTAAATATGTTGGATCAACTCCGCTCGGTATCGCGTGAGCGCGCACACACACGCGCGCCGCTAAGTTAGCGCGAGAGAACCCGCGCTCGTGCCATGTCCTGAGAAACATGTGTCTCTGTGTTGCATAATGTTTCAGCGAGTGTAAAATGACTTCACGTTATTAGTTAGTAAAGATGACAGCTAAGGCAACGCGGCTCAAAACGTTGTTTTTTTTGTCCTGTGTGTGTGTCCTGTGTTGAACAGGAGCCCCTCATTGGCACCTGCGGGGGTCCGAGGTCCCATTAGGGGACTTAAAGCATTTGACGTTGTTAGGATATTAAAGCATAGGAGGGCAACCAGTTTATATTAAGCAAACAAGCCACGCTGAGCGGTATGCATTTGTGTTGCTGCTGTTTGTGTGTTTTTAAGAGTCTGAACCTGGTCTGTGTTTGTTTCCAGTGAGCTGATGTTATCACGCATTATCTACTCTGGGGATGATACGAGCTGCCACTTGAACCCAGTGGCCCAAACACGACAAGTTTGGCCACGAGTACGGTCAATAGTAACTGTTCGTTTTCCTCACTGTAAACAGCCTGTAATCGCACTCTTGATAGTTGAATCATTTTTGTAGTGTCCTTCAAAAATGTTCCCGTAAGTCCAGATCATGCAGGTGTTTAAGCCCTTCCTCGTCATGGACGCCTTACAAAATGGCAGCACTAGATTTGGGTTGAACCATACAAACATATAGATCGTGTAGTGTGAAGCAAATAGAAAAAGCTCCATTCACCACGAAGCAGCATGTATTCAGACCTAACCTAATTTCTTTTCTCCCCCCGTGTCTCCTGGGATCTATTGTTTGACCATGTTGTATTGAGGCCAGAATCCACTTAACAGGTAGACTCACTCAGCCTGAAATCACAGATGTTAGTGTCCCATTTCCGCAGGCCTCTTAGGTCGGCCAGGCATTGTATTTTTACTCTATTTGTGACTTTTTTTAAAGCGAAGGCAGAAAAACAAAAATGTGTTAACCTAAACACTGTCGCTTTGTATGATTCTAAAATTTCACGCCATTCACCATTGCAAGTTCTGGCTGGTAAGTTTTACCATGAAATATTGAGCGAGTGAGTCCTTCTAGCTAAAACATTTTCCACTCTGCTTTTGTTTCTTCTGTTTGTACTGCCGTCCTTCATCAGAGTTCCTGTCCATAAGCGCTGTTTGCAGTGAGCAATTTTGAAGTTATGCAAAATGCATTTAGTCTTTCTACATTTGCACACACTGAAACATTTAACCACGTAAGCACAGGACAAAGATTTCCATGTGTAACATGTTAAACACTAATGACTCAAGGCTATGAGCTCGCAGTGACTTGGATTGTTGCAACAAGTCACACATGCTGCAGCGCAGGTCTCTACAGCTGTGAGGGGAAAAGCTGTGCTGGACCCATTAACTCCCACAGAATGACATTAAACATACACAATGAAGATGACGGGATGAAAGGGAATGCGAGAGAAAGGAAGTAAACGCATGGCTTTTATTTTCACTCCGGCTTTCAGTGGGGTGAAAGTAGCCTCCTTCGGTCAAACTGCACAAGGATATCATCACGGATTTTCAGAAACCGTACAACCGAGTGCAAGCATCCATCAGCAGGCAAGTCAGCTGAATTCACACACTGGATCCATTGTTGGGTTTTAAATGAAGATAAAATTGTGTCAGCTGTTTCACACACAAAGACATCGTATTGGAAATCCGAGGCGCTGCGCTCTACTTAATCACAATCCATCCAACTTTATATAAAGTCAGAGCGTTTTTTACTAATCAGATTCTCTGCAGACAAATAGTTCACTTGTTACTCGTCTTTCTAACATTAAGCATTTTGTCATTTGGACATCTACAATGCAAAATAATTACATATATTCACAACATTGTGTGAATTGAAACGGGTGCTATTTTTATAATATGCATTTTATACATGACATTCTCAAGTATATTCCTCTAAATCAGAATCGATCATACGTCAAATGTGAGTAGTAAATTGTTCGCTGTTTTATAAACTATACTAAACATTATTTCCATCAGTGGAGATAAGGTTGATTGAGACGTCTTTAGGAGAGTTTCTGTAGTTTGATTCAACTTGTGCTTTCCTTTTTAAGCATGACTTTAATTCCTTTACGGCATAAACCAGGCTTTCCAAGAGACAAATGGAGCAGAAAACACAAGCAAAGCCTCTTGGTAAATTCTTGTTTGCTCTTTCGCACTTTCATAGCTGCACCTCATGCACAAACCTTAAAACATGAAAAATGCATCAAAATGTTGCTTTTAGATTCCAGTGACAATCTTGAGGCAGGTGGTTTTCAGGCGAATATAAATTTACTTTAAATAAAAGCAAAAATCCCCTGCCATAACTAAAAGAAAATGGAAGACTTTTTGCAAAATGAGGAAAAATCCTCCCATACATGCACACACATCTACTTGATGTATGTTTTAGTTCTATCTTCCTTATATTGTCCCATTCCATCTTTTTTATTTGCTTCTCTCTCTCCTCAAGTAAATTAGTTTCAAAGCAATATTTGGCTTCTCCTTTTCTGTGTGACGAAAAGGCCCATTAACTGTCCTCAACTTTTGTCCAGTCCCCCTGAGGGGCTGACTGCTATGTCCCGGGTGACTGCAGTGTGACTTATGCAGCCGTCCTGCGAGCGGACTGCTATGTCCCGTGTGAGGAGGAGACTGGGTGTGTAATGTAATGTCAGCTGATCGGGGCTCCATTCAAGGATTACTTTGCATACGATGCCCATCGGAGAGCAGGCTCCTTAAATGACGAGCGGAAAAAAAGCTGTTGCGGTTCTACTGCAGCGCCGTCTGATTCCCTACAGTGTCAACATGAATACTGATCGGCATTCTCTTTTTCTTTTCTTTTTCCTGTTCTAGGTGCCAGCAGTGGAGACTTCAACCATTTCCCTGACGACCCCGAGTTTGCAGACATTATTCAAAGGGCAGAACAAGCTATTGAGAATGACTACTTTCCAGAAAGGATCTCCCAGGGATCCAGCGGGAGCTACTTTGTCAAAGACACAAAAGGGGTGAGGTGGGGTTGGAGCAATCACACATTTATAGTATTATATATTCACCTTCCACAATCTGTTTGATCCAGCGGCGTAGAGCTTCTAACTGGGGATGAAATGTGCTGGCTTTTGCCTTTAAAGTGGGTCCACATTGCTCTTGACCAGTCAAGCTGCTGAAGGAGTGCATAGCCGCTGAGCTGGAATGTTAGCACGAGGAATGCATAGGGAAGACTCTTTGAATAATGCAGCCAGCGACGGTTTCATCAATAACAGATGGTTTGCGTGCACAGTCTGTGTGTTTAATGTGCACTGCAGGGAAAACATATTGATCATTAACTTGTGCGCAGCATCTCTCCCACTTGATACGTATTGCCTGTTGTTCCTTCAGTCCTTTTTATATGAAGATCCCGTAAATATGGCAGCTTTTGTTGCCGTTATGTCCCAATGTGTGCCTTCTACCAAGTACAAATACATTGCAAAATTGCTTTACCGATTGTAAGACTCTTTATCGTTCTTGTTCCCTTCCACAGAAAGTCATTGGTGTTTTCAAACCAAAGTCAGAGGAGCCTTACGGTCACCTAAACCCCAAATGGACCAAATATTTTCACAAGGTACTGTGTCACGTGTTGTCTTTGCGTGAAGAATCTGAAAGAAAATATAAACTGCTTCATAAAAGTTTGCCTTTCTGTCTTTCCTCTCTAACTAGCTGTGCTGTCCGTGTTGTTTCGGCCGAGGCTGCTTGTTGCCTAACCAGGGTTACCTCTCGGAGGCTGCTGCCTCACTGGTGGACACTAAACTCGCCCTTGGAGTGGTGCCCAAAACAAAGGCGAGTGCTTAACCTGTGATTTTCTATGTTTGTTTGTTTTTTGGGGGGGGAGGGTTCTTATGTAATTTCTCTGCCTTCTTTATATATTTTATTGTTTAAGATTTCACCATGTATAGGGCTTTTGACTCAACCTTGTACCCCCGTGGCTGCATCATCAGGTGGTGAACCTGGCCAGTGAGACCTTCCACTACAGCGCCATCGACAGAGCCAAATCCAAGGGGAAGAAGTACGCCCTGGAGAAAGTGCCCAAGGTGGGACGCCGCTTCCACAGAGTGGGCCTGCCGCCGAAGGTAATTCATGGTCGAATGTCTAACACCTTCTAGTTTCTTTTAATCATTTCTTTAAATGTTTTGTTTTACATGGTCTGCTGTCTCCTCATGAAACTAAAGGGTTGAGTTTTCAGTGAGCAATTGGCTCAGAGTATCTTTCTCAGGCAGTCCTGGCAGAGGACTCTTGTCATACTGTGTTCCCTGGAGAGGTTTACTCAAATAAATAGGTCAGATGAAGCAGAAATGTCATCCCTTTTAGAGTTTGCTGTTTTTTTTCTGGGTCTTTTCAAAACGTGATTGTATTCTTTTGTTTGTGTTGTGTGCTGCTGTTATCGCATGCAGCATTACGCCGGCTCCCCGTTCTTCCCCTAAGACAACCTTTTTGATGAGGTTTAGCTCAGGTGTTGTGAAAAAGAAGTCTGACAATGTGTTCAGGAAGAAGTACGAGGAAGGAAGTTTGCAATCGTGCACTGCTGACATTGCGGCCTCGTCGACATTACATCACTTGCGTCCCCACCACGTCGTTGCCATAGAAACAAGCTCCAAACATGTGCTGAGGCGTGCGTGTTCTTCCAGGTGGGCTCATTTCAGCTCTTCGTGGAGGGTTACCGTGAAGCAGACCACTGGCTGCGGCGCTTTGAGGCGGAATCTTTGCCGGAGAACATCAGGAAGCAGCTGCAGTCCCAGTTTGAGCGGTTGGTGGTGTTGGACTACGTCATCAGAAACACAGGTGGGGGTCTTCTCTTTGTTATTCAAACAGTGTTTACTAAACTTAAACCCAGCTTTCATTAGGCTTTGTTACCTCCGACTTTAGTAAGGATAAAGACGACAATAATTATATTTTATTAGTAAAATGTGAGTTTTGTCATTGTTGACATTGTCAAGCTATTTCCAAGTCTATTTACGTATGAACACCTTTGTTTTCCACTTCAGATCGAGGGAATGACAACTGGTTGATCAAGTATGAGAAGCCAGGAGGAGGACAAAAGGTGAGGTGAAATAGACACCTGCGGAGGGCGTGTTTATTCTCAACCCGGTATTTAAATTGCTAGAATTCCAATACATTTTCTATGCGTAAAGAACTCTAATGGTAAATAGACACAGATTAATCACACAACATTGACTCGTTCACCACTAGTACGCACGCAGCGGTCCACACACACGCAGAGAATACATGGATATTGCTGCTGTGGAACAAAGCAGTACTCCAGGGACACAGCGTCGTACTCTCCATCAATCATTATTGGCTCATTCACTTATAAATGAGCTTCAGTTTGTCCTCCATCTTTCCAGTTTTTAAGGATTTGGGCAATGATCGATGACCATGTTCTGGTCAGCGCAATTGCATCACTTAGTGGCTGGTTATGACTAATCTGATCCACTGTCCCCTCACTTCAGGACGCGGAGTGGCCCGAGAACAGCTCTGACTCCTGTATCAAGATCGCAGCGATCGACAACGGCCTGGCCTTCCCCTTTAAGCACCCGGATGAATGGAGAGCCTGTATGTTGGCACCGCTCTACATTACATTATGTCTTTACTACTTGTCAGTCTTTGTTAAAACCTTACTAATAATAGTTGAAGCAATGGGCATTCATTTAATCTTGAAATAATTACGTTTTTGCCATTCAGTCTATAAGATCACAAGTTTCCAGAGCATAGCATGACCGACACTATTTATTTAAATTACAATAACAATAGATGGTGTTAGTATTTATTGTAATCATTTGCCAATTAGGTGAAACGTAACAAAACAGTGACTTTTAGTTGCAGTTATTCTGCGTTAAAGGATAAGAAATACGCATTATGACTGGGAACGGGAGGGAACAGCTAGCCCAGCTTTTTTTAAAGGTTGAAAAAAAAAAAGATATGACATAAATATCTATCTCTAATATTAGTTTTTAATTTTTGGAAAAAGCCATTTACAATGGTTCCCTGTTGCCAGTGTTTTTGCTAAGTTAATACGCTGCTGCATGTAGCTTCATTTCTACCATACAAACCGGAATATTATCGGTCTTTCCGTTCTTTTTAAAAAAATTTTAACCGCGCTCTCTGAATCCCTGTTTGAATGTGTTGAATGGCAACAAAAGGACAATTGAATAAAATAACGACATTAAAGACTCCACATATAATAAGACCACATGGACTCTGCAGAGGTTTTAGACCGTTGGGGAAGAGGTTGGCTTTTCACAGTAGCCAGAAAAGGTTGCCGATTTTCATACAGTGTTGTGGGAGCTCGTAACAAAGTGTTATCAGTTAAGAGTTGCCTCCTTCTGTCAGATCCGTTCCACTGGGCGTGGCTTCCACAGGCAAAAGTGGCCTTCTCCCAGGAGACCAGAGACCTGGTTCTGTCCCGCCTGTCTGACATGAACTTTGTCCAGGACCTCTGTGAGGACCTCTATGAGATGTTCAAGGTGCAAACCCCCGTATGACTTTCCTCTTACCTTTTTTTGAGATTCTTTTAATACTTGTGTGAATAAAATGCACATTTGAATGTTGTGACTGAGAACACCTGCTAACGGGAGTTGTTGTTTCTCAATTATTATTTTTTTTATGTTGTTTCTCTCTCCAGACGGACAAAGGCTTTGATAAGACCATGTTTGAGAGACAAATGTCTGTAATGAGGGGACAGGTGAGTGCATTTTGTGTCCCATATTCTGTTCTTTCCTTTTCTATCCGACCTGCTCTCCCTTCTGTCTTTATCTTTGTGTGTGTGTGTGTGTATATACCTTGGTTGTCTCCTTTTAATCTCATCACTACTCTACCTCATTTTCTCACGCCGGCAGTTGGCTCCACATAACCAGTCTCTCTTATAGCCAAAACAATGAATCTCTTTGAGGGAAATTTAATTAGTTATTATGTGTTACGCTACTCTTCAATGCAACCAATGCTGCGGTACTCAGAATTGAACATGAGTCCTGCATGTCGTTGATCGCGAACCCTGTTCATTGTCCCCAGGTGTTGAATCTGACCCAGGCGCTAAAGGACGGGAAGAGCCCCATCCAGCTGGTACAGATGCCCCGGGTGGTGGTGGAGCGCAGCCGCTCGGGCGGTCAGGGACGTGTGGTCACACTTGGCAACGCCTTCACACAAACCTTCCACTGCAAGCGTCCCTTCTTTACCTCTTGGTAGTCACAGTTGGGTGGGGAGGGCGGTTCAGGAGAGACTTCTGCAGCTTCTTTCCCCTCTTGAAGCGCTTGGGAAGACGGGAGGTTCAAATTGGAGACGGCAAATGTGTTTGTGCCGAAAGAAGAAATGAAGACACGGTAGAAAGAAAATATGATGAAGTATTGCTTTCGCCCCATTCCACATTTTGTGAAGCGACACCAGTTACCATGGTGACTCGATCTACTTTTCCACAGATGTGGGCTTTCTTTACTGTTGTTTTTTTGTTGTTGTTTTTTTACCCTCCTAAAGTACCTTGCAGGGTCACATAGTGGTGCAAACGGCCAAAGAAGTGTAGTTTGTATGTTTGGGAATCTAAAGGACTATAGCTTCACAGACCTCTAGAAAGTGATTAATGTATTTATTTTAAAATCTGGGACTGTGTTGTTCCTCGCCTGGGATCAAGTCCCAAACAGTTTTTTTGCCTTGTTGAAAACGATAGATGTGCACTTGCGCTGCTGGAGGTGCTTTGAATAGTTCTACAGAGCTGGGCCAAACTGCTTGTTATCCAGTGTTCGCTTTAAAAATGACGTCTGTTGGACTAACACAAACGCAGTGTCTTCAACTCTCACTACTGCCAAAATCTGTTTGAGGACCGAGTATTTAACCGCCACGAGAAAATGAATACGTTGAAACTTGAATATGACAATTTGGGAAAGGAGACTATTGATGAACACATTGTTTGAATGTAATCTGTTTACATCTTCGATACAGATTGTTGCTCCGAGACATTTCAATATGAGCGACTGCTGTAACAATGAATGTATTTGTTGTTCGACATGTATTTAATTGCTGGGGGGGGGTTTGGCACCTCGTCCGTGCCCTTTGTAACACACAAGAAAACTATCTTTCACATTCTCGATGCCCTTGTGTTTTCTTATGTATGCATCTTGAACTTTCTATTCTAACTGGATGATTGTATAAGAAAAGTTGTATATTTCAAAAATGAAAAATAAAATTTGGGAAATTTGGATTGTGTTTGTTGCTGTCAAGCAATGTTTACTCGAGTGTGTTCAGCAGAGGACTGCTTGAGTGAGACGGTTCCTCTGACAGAACTACTTAACAGCCTGAAGGGATCAAAGTGAGCTAATAATAACTGTAGAATTCAAATGCAGACTGACCAGCCTGTACCCGCTCTTCAATTGTGCTGTCTGATTGAGGAAAAAAACACTCCGGTAATAATAAGAACGTTAACAAGGAAGTGAAGCAACTTATTGGGATTCAGCCAGCATTAATTATATTTACCTGCTTACTTGATACGCAACAATCACCACATATAACAACTCTTGCCTGCAGGGGGCATTCTAAGTCAATTTGTCAAAGTGCCTCTTACGGATACAAATGTATTCTGTGTAATTAACAAAATAACGAAAGTGAAAGTTATTTTTATATTTTAAGACCTGTTGAGGTTTGTAGAATAATTGTCAGATCAAATCCCTTTTTATATCCATTAATATGTCATTCAACAATTCAGTATAAAGTTACTGTTGTTAAATAATTTAAGATTAAGGTGGGCCATATTTTGATTTCTAGAACTGTACAGTAGTGAAGGAGTGGGTCTCTAAAGGCTTCCTTTGAATAGTTTCAGTGGGTTTTGTCCTCGCTAGATGGCGCGCGTCGGTTCCCTGAGTGCTGTCCGGCTCACAACATCAGAAAGGGACCATTGGTAAACTGTGCAGACAGTGATGACTTCATCTACAGAGAGCTGACAACACAATCAATGGCACCGTGCGGAGTTCAGCATCCAGTGGAGAGCGTATTCTGCCTTTTCATTGGGAGACGGTTCTCTTTACAGCCATTCAATAAGAAGACACGGAATTATTCAAATCCATAAGAGCTCCGTGGCGCGTTCACAGTCAATCACAATGCAGTTACTTTTACTCGCTGCCGCGGTCCTCTTTACGCACGACCTCACCGGAGCCGTGCGCTCCGAGACGTGCCGCTCCCGCTGCGACGTGACCTCCTGTCCGAGCCCCAGCTGTCCCGACGGGTACGTCCCGGACAGATGCAACTGCTGCCTGGCGTGCTCGCCACGCGAGGGGGACCCCTGTGGCCGCAGGAACCACCTGCCCTGCGGGGACGGCCTGGAGTGCAAGCTGCTCGCTGCGGGGAGGCGGCGCGGCACCGGGGGGGTCTGCCGGTGCAAGATGGAGCGCGCGGTGTGCGGAAGCGACGGGAAGACGTTCGGTAATGTGTGTAAGATGAGGGCAGCCAGCCGTAAGGCCGAGCAGAAAGGAAGAGCCGCGGTGAGCCAGGCGCACGAGGGACCCTGTGCACCTCCGGGCGCAGGTAAGGCACGTGGGTGCAGGCAGAGGACTACGGGACGGAACGTTTGGGGGAAGTGATCAAACAAATTCGTTAAAGATCCTAAATGAACTATACGTGTCTCTGTTGCATTAGTATATGCATGTGTAGGTCTGCCACTTCATCATATCACTCGACATGTAAAGCGGCTGCTGATGCTTGTTTGACTGAACCCTAGTTTTACTTATTCTGTGACAGGAAGTTGCTGCTTTCTTGTTTGATCATTATTGTAAACTGAACAGTGAATGTTGGTTGGAGGGGAGGATCAATTTAAAGTCCTAAAAAATGTTAATGGGCCCTTTCACCATTTTCCGGCGTTTTGTAATCGGATTATTGTGAATTGTTGATATTCATTTAACACACTGTCAATTTTGCACATGGAAAACATGAAACATGTGGAGGATCACCCTTCCCCCAATATTGTAAAATGTAGTACCAGGATAGAAAGATTAGTAGTTACCTGTTGTCTACTGTGTGTGTGTGTGTGTGTGTGTGTGTGTGTGTGTGTGTGTGTGTGTGTGTGTGTGTGTGTGTGTGTGTGTGTGTGTATTTGTGTTAATGTGGTGCTTTCCTCATGTCAGCAGGGCGTCCACTGGTCCATCGCAGCAGCCCTCGCTACAAATTTAACTTCATTGCTGACGTAGTGGAGAGGATAGCTCCCGCGGTTGTCCACATTGAACTGTTCTTAAGGTATCTGTTGTGTGTGTGTGTGTGTGTGCATGTGTGCGTTGCTTGGTTTGAGGGATGTTAAAATCCCAGGAGGGAGTCTTGTGTAAAGACTCATGAACATTAGCAGAGTCTATCAAATAAACCCCAGTGAAGTTCATCACTTCAACCTCTACATTGGAAATGACTCAAAATGAGACTTGAATGTTTTTGTCCTTGTCGTTCACTGTCTCCTTCCTCTCGATGTCCGCAGACATCCCCTGTTTGATCGCCACATGCGTCTCTCCAGTGGCTCCGGTTTCATTGTGACCCACTCGGGTCTGATTGTGACCAACGCGCACGTGGTAACCACTGCTGCCGCGGTGACAGGGAGGCTCCAGCTGCGCGTGCAGCTGCGTGACGGTGACGCCTACGAGGCCTCGGTCCGAGATTTAGACAGGAAAGCAGACATTGCCACGATCAAGGTCGATCCCCAGGTGAGAGTGTTTTCGTCCAGTCCAGGCTGTCATCACCACTTTGTTCCCTCTTTCTCTCTTTGTTCAGGGAGGTAAAAAACAACAACTTCCCAGACATTTTTTCAACCTAATAGAAAAAACAACAACCCATCGCCTGACACGCGTCTGTTCCAACATCAGTCAGTCACAGCGAGATACTTTCAGAAGCTCCGGCTCTGAGACTCAGACGCCGCGCCAGTGTTTGCATTCTCACACCCACATCTCAAATACTTGGACTGTTTTTTTCTTCATTTCTCGATCTCTCTGTTCACTTCTCTTTTGGGTCAATTCTGCCCTTCGTCCTCTGTTGCTCTGTACAACTATCTGACACGCCTGCCTGTGTTGGCATGTTTGATCCGTCCAGAAAAAGCTCCCTGTGCTGCCTCTGGGCCGGTCAGCTGACCTGAGACCGGGGGAGTTTGTGGTTGCTATTGGCAGCCCCTTCGCCCTGCAGAACACCGTCACCACCGGCATCGTCAGCACCACTCAGAGAGACGGCAAGGAGCTAGGCATCAAGGACTCGGACATGGACTACATCCAGACTGACGCTATTATTAATGTGAGATTGCAAAGCGCACACATGCACCTGTAGTTTTGTCTTTAAGAGGACCCACATGGACACACTGCATTCGCAGGCCTATTACCCCAACCGATACAACTACAGGTGTAACTATAACTCTGACCTAATTATATGCACCTATTTGAATCCCTGAGGACGAGGAGTCCTCGGTTACAAAAATGTTCTCACTGTAACGTCAAAAAACTTGTTTTAGTCTTCAATATCTGCAAATCAAGACACTCACACACGCACACATATACACACAGGTCCTTCAATGAGGGCAGATATTTGAGACTTTTTTTATTTTACACAGATATTTTGGCTGTTTGCATAGATGTCATAATCATTGATGTGATTGTCTCTGTCTCATATTCTATATATTCGTATCTTTTCTGTGAGAAGTATGGAAATTCTGGAGGACCTCTTGTTAACTTGGTGAGTAGTGGTAATAACTTGCTATTAACCTCATTGATCAAGGTCCCCATATGATTTTTATTATTTTTAATTACTAGCAACAAAACAAACAGGGCAGTTTTAGACATAGATCTATTAAGGAATTTTATGTGTTATGATCCCAAAATTATAAGAATCGGTTAATCTGAGTCATCATATAACTCCTAAATGATTTACACATGCTAACAACTATACTACTGCTGCTCTTTCTCCATCAATAATTGACGTAGTAATTGAAAACATGCTTTAAAAAAATCATTCATTGCTGATTTTTATCAACCCAGAATGTTTTACTAAAAGCTGTATATCCAATATTTAAAATGTTAAACTGTGTACAAATCAAATGATTATTCCACCCTATGTATATAATACATTGTGCAAAGTGTACATCAAGACCTAGACAGTATTTGAGATCTTGTCAAATTTGTTGTGATTTTTCTACCTGTGTGTGTGTGTGTGTTCCCTCCAGGACGGCGAGGTGATCGGCATCAACACTCTGAAAGTGACCGCAGGGATTTCCTTTGCTATTCCCTCCGACAGAATCAGACGCTTCCTCACAGAGTCACAGATCAAACACATCAAAGGTCAGAGGTCAGAGCTTGAGCGCCACATAAGAAGAAACCAAATAGCAAACGGGTTCTTTTTTTGTTTGACATCCTGACGTCTAGATAGTGGTTATTTCACACTGTTTCTCAGTAAATCACACCCCAGTTGTTTTTGTTGTGACAGAAAGATGAGACTGCAGACAACGAGTTACAGAGGAACACTCGGATGCAGGTGGGCTCAAGAATGAATTAGACCTTTCAGTTGTTTTTAGAGGCATCAGAAGATAATCGAGGCATTTTGTTAGGCATCAGGATGCTTGCTATCACACAAAAACAACTGTTTAACCCACATCTCCCTACTGGATCATCCCTTCCAGGCGAAGCGATCCTGCCCCGTCGGTCGAGTCCGTGCCTCGTAGGTCCAGCGGGATTCTGATCCTGAGCCTTCTGGATGTGAACTTCTCTCCTTGTACCATACGCTTCCTCTCACATTCTACCATTCTACATTATTCCTTTACTCTTTGTCCCCCAGGACACAGAACATTTATTCTCATTTGGGAATATCAACTTTGTACTGACATGCTCACGTTTTAGCTGAACTTTCTGTGCCCTCAGTTTAAAAAATCATATATATTCCGACAACTGCGCCTTATGCAGTGCACCCTTTACTATAAACTGCCTTCACAAAGAGTCATGGGTGCGTTTAAGAGGAGGGGGGGGGGGTTAAAGAAAGAAGACGTTATAGTCTAAATAACTTGTTACAACCAGTCCAGACTATTGCATACACGCGTGTTGCAGCGTGATCAGTCTTCTACTGCTTGTTGGCGACATTCTGGTAAGAATTCGCAACCTTCACTTGTCTGGTGATGTGTATTTAGTTTGATTCACACATTTTTGAGATGTGTTCTGTCATAGATAAACAAATATCGTAGTTCATTACATTATTCAAAATACTGAAGAGGAAATGATATTGCATTGTATATTAAATAAAGCCCAAGGAATGTCAGAATAAAAGCTCCAAACAAGAAGCTGGACTATTTGTCTCTTCAGCAGCTGCTGGCCATCTGAACATTGCTTTGTTTACGTCGTCTCGTCGCTTCTCCCTCCCACGCTGCCTTGGAATGGCGCTCTGCTCATTTCAACAAACCTAAGACGACACCTAGACACACGCACGCACATGTTGACACACACTCATGTAGACACATTCATGTGAAAACACACACGTAGACACACAGTCTGGGCAAAGGCTGATTTGTTAGTGTTTTAGAATAAACCATCTAAATCCAGCCTGAAAAGAAATGACTAAACCAGGCCTCGCAGCATTTGCCTCATGGTGAAATGAAAAGGTTGTTACGTGAAGTTCACCTGAAAACGCTCTTTGTATGCGGCACTATTTTAGGACAGCGTTACTTTTGTTTGGTAAAGACCTCTCTGACCATGGTGACATTACCTAAAAAAGGTTGCACCTAACAAGTGGGCTCATTTTTTCCATTGACTGACACGGATAATATTTCCAGTTTAAACAGATTTTAATTTTGCAATATCACTGCAACACTTGTGTTGTACCAAAAGGCAATTGAAAAAAGTAGAACAGACTGGGATGGAGATCAAGATGGGAAAATGGGCTGATCAACAATGGACAAATTACTCCCATATCCACCAGCAGGAGGCTTCCTTTAACACGCTGCTCGTGAGTTTGTTGCTGACCCAGTTCTTTGAGAGGGTGAGTAGTGTTTTGTGGTGTTATTGCGGAGACATCTTGTCAAAGCTGAGAGACAGACCACTCAGGTAGCAGCAAATAGACACAGCTGTTTGTCCGTAAGTAGACAAAATAAAGGCGTTCCCACCAGATCAAAACATCTCAGAATGCCTTCCAATTTGGCATATCCAACAGGCGCTGAAATGCCAAATGTAATATTGTGAATGCATTTATTTATGACGGAACGTACATTTATTTGCCATAATCCTGTTAAGGCAGTTGAGTCCAACCTGGTTTAAATATGACTCAATTGATGATTGCTGAATGAGCCACTAGATGGCGTGTTGGGTGTAACAATTTGGTCCTGACGTGGCAACTTGTGATCTGATGAGTAGAGTGGTTGAAGAAGTCCACATAGCTCTTGTTTTTAACTTGGTAATGATGAGGCTAAAGTAGAGGGCACTGCATGAAACACTGTTATTACCAGTGATGCACGGTCAGTGCTGCAGTGACCAGTGATAACCAGATCTGCTCAAATCATATTCAGCTATATTTTTTTGGTTTAAAAGGGATTTAAAGTCATGTCATTGGAGATTTGGTCACGCATTCATGGAGACTGGAGACTTTTTTTAATCACTTATTGGTGTTCTGATGATGTCACCTGAGTAGTCTCAGCTTGGGCGTGGACACATAATGACAGAGAGCCTGCTCTGCAAAGCCGGAGGTTTATAGTTTCAGAGACTTTAGCAGGAAGAGTCAAAACTGACGCTTTCATTGCTTGTTTTTATCTGTCAGAGTCCCGTTTTAACAGGTCTAACATATTTTATTGTTCCATGTTACCGCCACTTCCCGCAAGGGTTCATCGTTTCTTTGTATAAGTATTTTTACTTCAACATAAAGGATTTGGCTTTTGATGCTAAATGAAATGAACAGCGTCACATGACCTGGCACCTCGAAGCTCTCATTGAAATCATTTGTGCTGAAAGTAAGTGGACTGTAGGAAAAAGCCACAAGGGTGCAGTCTTTAGAGGTTTCCCTAAGCCAGATATTTTGACGTTGCTTTGGTTACTTTGGATTTCTTACCTCCTTGCTTTGTCTTTCTCTAAGTTTCCACCGTCCTTATTTAGTGGAGCTAAATATACATCATAAAATCAGCATATGCAGAGAAGACACTTTTCTTTTTTGTTGATTAAAGTCTACATATAACGTATTCATCTAGTTTGTGTAATTAAAACACTAAAAGAAATGTAAAAACAATACTTGTGCTATCCCAGTGTTAGCACTGCTACTATTTATTTTTGACCAGCGGCCGGAAGTAGTAACTTTCTGTAGTTCAAACTATGTAAAGAAAATGTACGTTTCTGTTTGTATGTTGAACAATTAGCTTGAGAAATGTTAGTTATTTCAGTGTGCAGCCTGTGGCACTACATAGACATGAATGTGGAATAAATCTTCCAATCAAAGCACAACAAGAAAGGTCATAGGCGTATTTCCCAAAATGTTAAAGAAATCCATATTGTAATTTGTGTATTTGAGTAAACCTCAGAGCGTAGTGTTCAGCAAATCTCTTTGAAAACAGAGATAGACGCCCGTGCTTTGCTGTGGTTTTAACAAAATTCCTCACAACTGGATGGCCTCATGTACACTGCCGGGAAAATAACACAAAAAGACACACACACACGCTTACACACACACACACACACTCACAAGGGAGAGAGGGAGACACAGAGTGAGCCCAGACATTCTTTTGTCAGAGCTCCGGTCAAATCTAAACCCTGTGCACCCTTCCTCTGTCTCTCAACTCCCTCTTTCTGGTGCTGTTGACTCATTCTGCTTCTCGCTCTCTCTCCGTCTTTACAAATTCAGTCAGCAGCATTTTCCCTCAACTCTCTTTTTTTCTTACTTATGCATTCTTGTGAAATAGTTCAGCTGCATGTCCTCATCTTGCTACGCTGAATGTGTGTGTGTGTGTGTGTGTGTGTGTGTGTGTGTGTGTACGTGTTGCTTAGTGAATATGATCATCAAGTTTAGACGTTGAAACTCATGACGTATGGGTGTAGGTGAGTTTGCTGTGAGTGCAGCTTTTTTTGTGTTTAACCGGTCTCTTAATGAGAGTAATGCTCGCTGTTCACAAGTCTAGAGGCCCCGCATTGCTGCAGATGGCAAAACAATGCTGTTTCCCGACAGCGTTTTTAAGACATACTGCAGCACCCAGAAATCAAAAGTAGAATAGGATACGTCTGTAACTCCGTTTTTTGAGAATAAACAACAAGCCAAGCAAAGAAGAGCAGAGACTGTAATCTTGGATATCTGGAATTAGAACCACATGTTCTTTATTGGCCTGAGAGGGGCCCTGAATTGTTACAGCTATAAACAACAGGCTACTCGCTGGATGGAAAAGACATCAAGCTCAAAGGACAGTTAACTAAAAGAAAATGCCAAAATGTGACAATTCTGGAAAGTGTCTGACCAAACCCTCCTACTGTTTGATTCAAAGGCAGTGTAAGACATGTTCCTAGCATAGGCTTAAAGTCACTTTTTTCTATATGTAGAAGCTCTCACTAGCAGAAGGAGTTGCACATTCCATCTTTAAGCTGTGCAATGGACCCTTGTGTTTTGCTTTTCATTTCAGAGGCGAAGTTGTCGGAAGTCGGAATTGTTTCTTGACCTTTTTACAAAGAGATCCAAGCAAGTAAAAATATGTAAAAGATCAAGATATATTCAACAAGAAAATCCACACAGTCGGTATTGTTCATTACATAATCCTGTGATGGCAGTAGAAATTGCATGGGACTATTTTCAGCACTTGGTCAGTAATGTTTTTGGTTCCCCTCGATCTTTTAATAAGAGCAACCATCACCAAAACTCATGCCGCCCAAAGCGACAGCATGCATGCATGAATGAACATTATTGAGAAGTCGATACAAATACTGGGAAGAAACATATCTTGAATACAGAAACGGGAAGAAAAAATATCCTCCTGAGACCCAGCCCATTCATTTGTATGCTCTGTGGCGGATATTGTGGTTTTGCACCTCTCCTTTAACTCATTTGAGATATCCTATCAATCCCTGCTGTAGTTTAAAGAGGACATCCTGGTCTTTTCAGTGATATCAAATATGTCGGGGGGGGGATGATGACAACTTCCTCTTCCTATGGACACATGATTAGCCTGCACGTGTTATGGGAAGTCAAAGGGAAAGTCAAATATTGCTTAATTATTTTTTACTTTTTTACTGTGACTGTGACTGAGAAGTAGATTAACTGGTCTAGACCCATATTGAAATTTGACATGATTGCAATGTGGGTCTATGTGCTCACGTTGATCTGCTGGAGGGTGTTATACTTTTTGGAAATATCTGTCTCTCAAAGAGAGGATGTAAAGATGAATTATCCGTCTCTCTCACTCGCTTTCATTTTCTCTCTCTCTCTCTCTCTCTCTCTCTCCCTCGCTTACACACACAAACACACATGAAATGTCGCAAAAGTGTAGTGTACCATGTTTGGCGACATTTCAGCACTGGACAGCTCTCTCCGGGTGTCTCAAGCTCACAAGCGCTATATCCTTACATGATGGGGACCAACTGGTGGGGGCGCGAGCAGAGAGCATGGCGAATCTCTGGAAATGGAATGGAGTCATTACCTTGCACAAGTAGTGTGTGCAGTGTGTCCTCAATGAGAGCAACTCTGATGTGTGCAAAAGGCCTAGAAGATTAAGAAATTATCTTCAAGTTTACACGAGAGAGCTTGAAGAAAAGTTGCGTTCTATTGACTGTGTGGAAGTTCATAGTGAAGTGCTTAATCAAAAGGGACTTAACTTGTCAAGTGTAAAAACAGGCGTGAGGATGTTATATAATTATATTTGTGTCACGGTGTGGTTTATTTCCTGTCTTATTTTGTAGTTTTCCGCTTCTTGTCTCCCTGGGTAACTTCACTTCCTGCCTTGTCCTGTCATCCCCTGTGATTGTCTGATCGTTTCCACCTGTGTCCAATCACCTGCACCTCGTATTTAAGCCGTGTGTCTCTTGTCACTTGTTGCGTCATTGTTGATTGTTGGATGTTCTTGGTTACTGCCTGTATTTTTGCCCCTTGGCCCTTTCTGAGTTTTTGACTATTAAAGTCTTAATCACATGAGCTTTGGGCAATTCAAATACAGAGAGAATGAGTCATTTGAAGAATGACCCAATAAAAAAATGTTTTGGCATTTTTGTTATCATCATCTGGTGACCCCTCATGTATATCTTTGGACCACGTGGGGTTTGGGCCCGACTTTTGGAACGACTCATATATTGCTATAATAACCTCAATGGGAGATGAGTTTTTTTTCGAAGACCAATCGAACAGAGATGTAACCTCGCATTGAACTTGTAAAGAGGCTTTGCCATAAACTTTCCACCCCCCCCCACAAGCCACGTTTCTTCCACACCCCCTCCCTCCTCCTCCCCACCACGCGCGCGCACACACACACACACACACACACACACACACACACACACACACACACACACACACACACACACACACACACACACACACACACACACAGAGCTGTGTGCAGTGTAATATGATCGGTCGCTCAGTGAGCTGTAATTCAGGTCTCGTGTCGGAGATGCTCTTACGCGCAGACAAAGGAAGCAGCTCCTCGTGCCGCTCGCGTCGGTGATTCTCATCCAGGCCCAGAGGACGAACACACACACTGGCCACATCACTGCCCTCGGACATGCGTTGGGGACTGTTGTTGCTGCTGTTTCTCTCCTCGATGAGGAGCTGTGGGTGCGCGCCGCCGCAGACTTGCCATCCAGGAGACGAGCTTTTAGGTGAGATGACTTCGACTTAAAGCAAAATAGTTCGTAGAGATCTGCGTTACTAGAGCATGGCTTGTTTGTATGACAACATGTGGGCCTTTTTAATTATTAAAAAAACAGCTGACCCCTGAACTTTACAACCCCAACATTCGCATGTAAACGATTGAATGCTGCGGGGAGCAGTCGATTCTGAAAGCCTCGTTAACGGCTTCATTTATACAATCAAAGTCTGCAGTGGACTTTGACGTAATGCAGATTTGTTCGTGATGTCATACTGTGGACGCACACATGTCCCCGTCACAGTAAAGCCTAGTTTATGCTAAAAGCCTAGTTAAGGCTGGCGCATGCGTCTTTACGCACCGTTGTGTCCACGTACTCGTTTCAATTGATGGTTCTAAAAGTCTTGAAGAAATGCGTAAATATGACCACTTCAACAAGCCGTCATTGGCGGGTTGTATAAGCGGGTTGGATTCATGGAGGGAGATCGCCGCAAACGGCGGTTTGCCGGTCGAGGGGAACAAAGTTGTAGAGGAAAATACGGGACAAATGTGTCCGTGATGAAAAGCAGCAGTGGCGATGCAATAAAGTCTGATAAATAAATAAATAAACAAACCAACGACTTCCACACACAAAGACGTGACTCTCTAGGTCGTCCTCAACAGAAACACGTTACTCCACCTGTTGTTCTGGTGGTGAATTGCTCTGCAACATACGCAAGACTTTATGAACCATGAATTGAAACGAGTGCCTTAACAGTGATAAGAAGCTCGAGTCTTGCTTTTGAAGATGTCGCCCCCTAGCGTTTCATTTGTGACCCGCTAACACTTTCATTCTGTGTGTGGCTTGTGTTTTCTCACAGGAAGATGCACCAACGACGTGTTGGGAGATAAACGTAGGTGGCTTATTCATTTCACATATATAGGCAATTAAAAAAAAAAAATATATATATATATATATATATATATATATATATATATATATATATATATATATTTGTGTAGAGAGTAACTACTTAGAAATGCTTCTCCAGGCCGTTACTTGAGCTTCAGGGCTGCAAAACCGACGTTTTTAAAACACACAGCGTGTCACAGCGAGATGCAACGGGCCTCCTCCTCTTTGAAAACCACAACAATTTAAAAAAAAAGCTTTGCTTTTCTTACCCGTTAAGTTAACATCCTCCTCTCGGTTCTCTGTCCCACAGCTACCTGTACGCAGCTCACGCTGGGCTACTGCAATGACCTGGAGTACTCGAGGTGAGTGGTGGAGTTTGCTACTAATGCGGGTGAGCCGATTGAACTATGCCTACGTGCTGATTCGTTCGCGGTGCGGGTGACACCTTGTGATAAATAAACCCTTCCGCTCCAGAACCGTATTTCCCAACATCCTCGGCCAACGGAGTAGCCGGGACGTGGAGTCGAGTGCAGAGTACCTCCTGCTCAGCGTCATCCACGGCCTGCTCAGCGGGGAGTGCTCCCCTGAGATACGCCTGGTCGGCTGCTCGGTTCTCGCCTCGCCCTGCCAGGACGACAAGATGATAAAACCCTGCCGCAGCACGTGCGATGCATTGAGGAGGGACTGTGCCCATGCCTTTGAAGCCATCGAAATGGCCTGGCCCTACTTCCTGGATTGTGACCGTTTCTTTGCAAGTAACGAGGAGGGCTGCGTCGACCCACTGGCAGCCCTCAAAGGTAAAGGTCTCGCGTTAATGTTCTACTGCTCAGACATAACCGTATCCTGTGAAAAATATAAAGCAATCTTCTTTCCTCCTCCAAATCCTGGCACCCCACCCACCCCCCTCCAGCCAGACAGAAGCAAATAGAAATGTCCAGCCTTTCAGGTGCAGAACCCAGCACCATCCTCCAGTTCACATACACCACCAATGCTCAGATGTACAGCCTGCTGAAGAGAACAGCAGCCAAGTGCCCCCAAATCACTCAAGTCTATAGCATCGGGCGCAGCACAGAGGGAAGGGACCTGCTGGTCATTGAGTTCAGTGACAACCCAGGAAAGCACGAGCTACGTGAGTACGGCAGAGCAACGGAAATGAATTGTGAGGTGACGCTCACGCTGTGTAGGAAAATCGATAAACGCTTTCAAAGAAGACAATACTAATAATGTGTTTGCAGCTCGTTCTCCTGCCCCACCGTGGACTTCTCGTTGTTGAGCGCAGCTTTAACCGGGACATTTGTGTCTGTGCTTCTGTCTGTGAAATGAAGTGGAACCAGAGATCAAGCTGGTGGCGAACATGCACGGCAACGAGGTGTTGGGCCGCCAGCTGCTGATCTACTTGGCGCAGTATCTGTGCTCCGAGTACGTCCTGGGCAACCAACGAATTCAGACCATCATCAACACCACCCGCGTTCACATTCTGGCCTCCATGAATCCCGATGGCTACGAGCTGGCTGCCTCAGAGGTAGAGGATAACAGTGACCCGGAGCGCGCCAACCAGGAAGTAAATATTGTTAGCAGAAAAAAGAAAAAAGACAAGCTTCCATTATCCGATCACTATCCTATTGTCTGTTTACTCCGTCCAGCTTGACGTGTGGAGGTGGAGGAATGAGGAACTCTTCTCAGGGAACGTTATTAATGTTGTTGGGGGTTGTGAAATGGGTCTGGGTTAGAAAAACAGCACATGTTGCTTTGCCAGGTAATGCTGAACACGATAGAACAAACTCTCACTTCTTGGTAAAGATTATTTGAAGATTAGGCTACAAAATTGGCAATTTCTTAATGTTGGTATTACCATTGGATGTCGAGTACTCATTCCTCCCAACTTCCACTGATCACCCTGTTTTCCACTAACCAGAGAATTAACTACTAACTTTTTGGCAATTTATGAAGAACCCCCTTTTATTGGCCAAAATACAGTGAGATAGACAGTGAGAAGCCTGAGAAGTTGGGCTTCTACATCATTTCCCCCCCACATGTGTTGCATTTATTCACTATGTGCCTGGCTGTTTCAGAGCGTTTAACACGCTGTGCACGCTTATACAGTTGGAATATGTATAGTAATCCTGTGTATCTGCAAATGTGTGTCGCAATCATTTGATTGGAGGCTGATAATCATCATAAATGGCCACGTGTGCAATGTGCAATTTGAGCTGAACTGCACGGCCTAATATTTTCACGGTAGGAATACTGCGCTGCGCTTTGGCTCTTGACCATTTATAATATACACGCAATTGAAACATTGTTGAAAGTGTGTGTATTTTGTACCTCTTATTAATATGATCACATTCTAGATGTATTATGGAGGCCAAACTACTTTAATATTTGTAGTCTTTACATTGCCCCTGTCATCAATGAGTATCTTGAAACTTCAAACTCTTGCATATTTGTACTGTATATGGAAGCTTAATCATATATGTTTATGGTTTGTAGGAATATGCAACTGTTTGCATAATCCCAAAACATCTCTTTCTTTGTTTGAGTGGAAATTCATGAATAATGGTTTCTTGATGCTTGTTCTCTACTTTCCCTCATGACGGATTAATGGTCTTGTCTACATTTTAACACCAGAATTAACGACGATAGTGTAACAGGTTCCTTCCTGTTCTTCAGACTAATATTCACATCATGTGCGCAATATTTTCTTCATGCAATCACTGCTCCTAACGTCTCTTAACCATCATCACACTAAATAATGTCACACTCTGGCACCTTGTAATTCTCCTAGTTGTTTGAACCTGAATATGTTTCAGGGCCACTTGTTGAATGGTTGGACCAATGGACGTACCAACGCCCAGAATATTGACCTCAACCGCAATTTTCCAGACCTCACCTCCATTTTCTACCGGAACCGCCGCAGCAGGCACTACCGCATTGACCACATCGCAATCCCCGACGCCTACTGGTTCGGAAAGGTAGGGGGGGGGGTCCTTATTCTCTTTATCCAAATGGTATTTTCATAAGTAAATACAGTATTTCGGCACGGCTCCCAAAAACAAACCAGTCCTTCCTCTGGGCTGCAGGTGGCACCAGAGACCTACGCAGTGATGAAGTGGATCAGGTCGCTGCCCTTCGTTCAGTCCGCCAGCCTCCACGGAGGTGATCTGGTGGTCTCCTATCCCTTTGACTTCTCTAGACACCCACAGGAAGAGAGGATGTTCTCACCCACTCCTGATGAACAGGTGGGGAGGGAAGTTGGGCGTCTCATTTGATTGTTTGGTGAAAAAGCCGTTGTACTGACGTATTTTCTCTTCAACCACACACACACACACACCCCCACACCATGCTCAGGTCATCAAGCAGCTGGCTCGCACCTATGCAGACGCCCACGCCACCATGTCCAACAATGACACTGAGAGGTGTGGAGCCTCCTTTTACCAAACCCGGGGCATCATCAATGGGGCACTGTGGTACAGTTTTGCTGGTGGTGAGAAACCAAACTTTTCAAACTGTGGAGGGAACGGGCGACTGTGGGTGAGTGGAGAGTGTAAGGTCGTCCCTCCAATCACCGAAACCAATGTCGGTTGCTGATGGACAGGTTGCACCTTCTCCTAACATGGGTGTGAATGACAGCGTGTCACAGCGCTTAGAGCTGTCTGAAGTACAGTCTACAGTCTCTACATTTTCTTTTTTTTACCCTTTTCATTGCTTGTGAGCTACTCATTATCCACACGTCTTTCCTTGCAGGTATGTCAGACTTCAACTACCTGCACACAAATTGTCTGGAGATCACGGTCGAGCTCGGATGTGACAAATTCCCATCAGAGGCAGAGCTTTACCCAGAATGGAAAAGGAATAAGGAAGCTCTGTTAAGTTATATGGAGTCCGTAAGTGTCTGCGTTTATCTGGCTTGAAGACCGGCTTGAATTAAAAGGTCCACAATTTTACAGTGCATTGTTTCATCTAGTTGATAGTAGATGGATTAACATGTGCCAACTAAAGCGTGAAACGACTTGTGGAGGACGATTAGCTGGAAAAACACTTGTAGCAAGCAGATCAGAGCGGAAAGGAGAGAAATATATATAATATATAATATAATAATAAAATCGATTGTGCCCTCTGATCCTGCACAGGTCCATCGAGGGATAAAGGGAGTCGTTCAGGATGTTGATGGAAAAGGGATTAAAGGTGCAATTATCTCTGTGAGGGGGGTAAGAAAAGATGTCACAGCAGGTAAACACACTACATGATTATACATTTTCCAGTTTCCATATTTTCCAAATGGCAAAAAATGAATTGTCACCATATGCTCAATCGTAATGACTTCAGGGGGGTCAAATAACTTTCACCTTCAAATAACCTGTGTGGTTTTGAGTGAAATGTTTCAACAAATATCAGATACGTCGGCATGAAACATTCGCTGGAATCAAATCATTAAACTGTAACATGTCGCAAACTGTGATAAAAGCTTGACTTTGGCTTTTATTTGGTCATACACTGGTTTACGACTAAATACCTGCAAATCTAACTACCATTGCCTCATCAGCCTCAAGCTGTACGCTGTGTTTAGTGCTAGTTGGCTCACTTAGTTAGCACGATGACCTCACACCTTAAAGCACCGCTGTGACTTACTCCAGCCTCACAGAGCCTGTAGCCTGCACATGGACCTGTCCACGTGCTCATCAAAGGTTTCTTCATGTTTCTGACACTTTTTAGTTCCTCTTCTGTCTTTCGTTTGATCATGTTGTCTTTATTGCCCTTCAGCTGAAGATGGAGACTATTGGCGGCTGCTGAATCCAGGTACTCACATCCTGACAGCCACGGCCAGGGGTTACTCCAGGGTCAGTAAGAGGGTTTATCTGCCGCACAACATGAACAAGGCTGGACGTGTCGACTTTGTCTTGGCGAAGGTTGGACTTCTATCTTCATCATCAGATTTATCAGACTTGCTCATTTCAACATGCAGTAATACAACTAATACATACAGGATAAAATCACAATACTAATGGTCCTCCATTGCATGCTCACCATTTCCCTTGTCCCACACACAGGTGCCCATAGAGCCTGACATCGACGACCATCTCTTCCCCACAGTAGACACGTGGGAACGATTCGACCCGTACAACCAGTTCGAGCGCGACAGCGAGCCGGGCGCAAGGGAGGAGAAACCGTGGTGGTGGAACTACTTCTCCCAGTCTGGCATTTCACCTCCACAATGGCTGCTGCGAAGTGTCTAAAATAACGACTGGACAATAAGGAACCCAGCATACCACTACGAGACTGGTGATGCCACTGGTGCTTTCAGAGGTGTCTGTGTAGCAGTAGCCGTGACACTGAAATCAGCAGTGAGCCCAGAGCTAAATACGTTTCAGTGCTTTCTGGATGTGAATACACATTTTTTTAGGCAGTAAATAGATTTGATTTGATGTCAAATAATTGGCAAATAATGCATTGCAGCTGCATTCAACTTGTTTAAGTAAAGATTTAACCACTGCAAAATAGAGGATGGATGCCTCAAAAGATGTTAATCAAAAGTAATTCAATGCACTTATTTGAATATAGTGGCACAATTTCATATGTGATGGCAGCTGCAAAAGGTGTGAACTTGAAACAAATGTTGCACCTCATCATTTAATTTTTAATATTAATACATTTCATGGCTTATGTTTTAGCTACGGTTAATACATTATGTATATCAGTGGAACACTCAATCATGTCTAAATCGTGCACTACATTTAAGCTTGGATTGATGAGCAGCATTAGTGTGCCAACTGTGAACAGTTGAACTTCTTGCTTGTTGGTTCTTCACAAAAAAGAAACATTAAATATTTGTGGCAAATCCTCTTCCATTCATTTTAATATTGTTAAATTATTATCCAAGTATTAAGTTGTTTTACATTTTCCCTACTTGTTGTACACCTCTGTGCAGGAGGCCGTTGTCGCATTTGATCACCAGAGGGCGCCAGAGAACCTGCGACCACAGATGTAGACTTTAGTCTAATTAGAAACATACTCAGGCAGGCTATTTTACTCTTCAGTTAATCAACCAAGTGCTCAGAAGTAATCAGAAAAGATACATCTATAACTGCTGCTGCTATTTCCATTTTCATTCCAACTTTTGCGGAAGGACACCTTTTTTTTTAAAATAGAAAAACGACATGAGGCCAGTTGCGTGCTGTATCCTTACGCCTTCCGTTTGCGTTGTTGTGAGCGTCGTCAGTTTCCCTTTTGCTAACAACCAGCCTCTGTTTAAAGTTTAAACTCAAGGTGATATTACCATTCCACCTTTAACAGCAGGCCAAGGCCCCGGAATTAGTTTTTCGTGCGCGAAAACTCTGCACGTCTGTTCGACGGGTGACTGACCAGCGCATCCAAACCAAAGGTATGAAACTCCCTGAACGTTACGCTTATCACGCCAGTTCACCGGCGCGTCGACCTTTAGTAGTCCGCTTTTAAAGGCACTCCGTTTGTCTCCCCTACCAGTTAATGCATTCACTGTAAAATAGTCTGAATATTCTACCTGGCCAGCATGGAAACCAGCAGGACTAGTGTCTGAAGATAAAGAGCAGTAGGCCTACATCTCCCCCCACACACATACACATGAACAACCTTGATGTTCACACTCCAAAAAACACACATGTCCAAACACTTCAAAGCCTGTTCTACATCCACCTGGACCAACTGATCAGCACTAACGACCTGAGCCTGAAGCTGTGTGTGCTGTGTGTGTGTGTGTGTGTGTGAGGAAACCCCCCAAAAAACATACTGACACCAGCGTTAAGCACGCACCTAAGAGACTTTGTTTAGTTGTGTTCCCCGTCACTAGCGTAATGACACACATGCAACTCATCCACTTGTGCACTAGTCTGCTGTGTTGTGTTTATTTAGGTCTTCTCAGTTTAATCCATCTGCACCACCTCCTGCCCAGCAGTCTATCAATAATGTGTCATGGGGACTGAGTCACGTGCCACTTCCCCTCACCTCGCAGTCCATCTGCTGTTTCTCTCTGAAGCACACGGATCTGTGCTTGATCTAATGTATCCAGCGGTATTAAGCCGGAGCAGGATTCATGTTCACAATTAGCTGCACTGAACGGAGGCCTTCATAGTGCCGTTATGCAACGTGTGGTTCTGATAAACAAATGATATAGTGGGTCTTTGATCAATCATTGAGAATCTCAGATTCATGGATCCGTCTATTTAATCATCTAAAATTATCTAAAAAAAATTCTCCCCAATATATTGTTTGATAAATAATCTTTTAACCTTTTGACATTTTGTTACAGGGAGTTGAAGACTGGATACACGTGGAACCCAGTTCGGTTAATAAACTCCAGAACCAGGTATCATAAGAACACACACCAGAGTGATAATCTGCAAACACATTGACTGTTTTTTGGAAAGGAATTCTGTAAAAGAATGTATGTATCTTTACAGCAAATGCTTTTTTCTTATTTTGTACCTTTTGTACTGGTAAGACGGGGGGGGGGGGGCTATAATGTCACATACTTCCATGCAGCAGTAGGGATGCACAAACATTTAAATCAAAATATATAAGAATTGTGGTGGTTTCTGGAGGTGAAGTGAAAGATATACGAGGCTGAGAAATGAAGTCCTAAAAAGTGTGCAGCTCCTCAAATGGCCTCTAGAGGCTCTAACGGCGAGTCGTCCTCACAGACCTGCGTGTTACAATGCATAACTTCACAGCAAAATAAATGTTTTTTACGGAAAAACACAAAAAGCATTTGGGGTTTCTGTAGTTAGGATGCATGTTAACTCTACAAGGTGTGAATATTCATACATAAACTTTAATTATAGTAAGATTTAAAATTGGTAGGTTTTCTTAAAAAGGCCATTTTTGAATCGTGATATAATTCTATTTTTCCAATGCAGTGTGTTCTCAGATGTCTCCTCCTTATGTTCCTGGACCGAGTTTCCATCTGGCGGACCTCTACTGAGGTTTCTGCCGCTTTCCCTCTCTCTCCCTTTCTCTCCGTCCTCCCCTCCCTGAGTAGTAGCACTTTCAATCTGACTGCATCAGTTTCTCTAACATAACCCATTTAACACTGAGCACATGAAATGCAAATGCCAAACCACTTTGCTCTGAACTTTGTCGGTGCTTCTCCCTTTCTCCCTCTGTTCCTCTCCACGTCGATCTGTCCTTCATTCCTGTAGTCATCCAGCTCACTACGCCCCGGGAGAAGAGGCCTGTTCAATGTGGCAGAGATGATTTGTTTGCTTTGCAATTATTTTCTGTCAGTGGAGACAAATGGATTCATCCCGCATAGATAAAGTAACACAGACCGAGCCGGAGCGGTGAACGCAGTGGAACAGACTAATACGTGCTGCGCAAAGACAAAGATAGAGAATACGGAGCACCTTGGGTAACGAATAGATCAAAGAGCATCTCGTTAACCCCATCTCCTAAAACTCTAATTGCTATGCTGCTAACAAGCAACATTTACATAGAAATGTAAGGCTGCAGGGTTATTTTTTTTAATCAGCATAATATTCTCCACATGACTTTAAAAAAAAAAAAGAATATTCCACATCAGATTGAGTTGATATTACTGGACAACTGAAGGTGGTAATATGACATCAGAGCTGTTTCTGTGAGGGCTAAAACAACTGTGCATTGACAATATAATACAATATGGAAGAGATTTAGGTTCAATTTTCTCAAATGCAGACTAGCTCAGGTCAAGAGGCCATATTTAACTTTTTCAGGCAATACTCTATTGATATCTATTCTTAAAAAAATGAATTCCCCAGGCATAATAAAATGTATGTTGATGTAAAAACTATTTATAAGTCGGAAACTTGCAATTATGGTGACTCTGGTATGACTTGATTGCAGCATTACATTACTCAACGCTCTCGGTTAAAGTGAAATGTGTTGGTCTGGATCTTTAGTTATTTGGAGCACCAGAGTGGAACATATTTACTCTTCTGGGTTTACCCGATTCCACGATATTCTCATCGCCGCATCCACCGTGTTCAAAGAGCCTAAACCTACACACCAGCCACACCCACCCCGACTCAATCTTTAGAAAAGTGCAGATCTCAGGTGTTCCTACATCGACGGTCGCTGTAATGCTTGGGTTTGATTTCCCTCCCGTAGGAACTGCAGGTTTATCAATACACATCTTTCACTCAAACACGCGACAGATCTGCTCTCATTTTGATTTGTGCTGCTGTCTGCACAAGCAGCTAAGGCTCACCGTGTAACGCCTTATGTTCCCCACTTCATCTGAACAAAAGCTGTTAGTTCACTTCCTGTTTAGCTGTTAGCTCTGTTAGCCAAACACGGCAAAGGACTGAGTCAACAAGCACCGTACCGACGTCTCTGCCATGGACAGACTGACACGCGCGCGCGTGACCGACCACATAGCGTCCTGGCGGAGGAAACAATGCCCCGCTCTTTTGATCGCGCTTGAGGACCACTTGCGATTTCTGAAACATAGTTTGATGTGCTGGTAGAGCACGTGGTTGGATTCCAGAATGGAGGCGAAGGGTCCCCCCCCCCCGTTTGCCCCCAATGTGTGACGAACACAACTGGGCTGCAGATTTTTTCTGTCTCTGTTGAACTTTCAAACTATCCACAGTAAAAGAGATTAACCTTTTCCTCCCGGCCCGCGTCACCTTGATTTCCCCTTATCCTGTCTTCTGTCGTCCTTTCCTTTTTGGTGACCCCGTCTCCCCTTTTGCTGTGTCCCTGTTGCCTGTCCCTTGTCCTATCTCCCTCCTCCTCCCCTCTCCCCTCTCCTCTCTCCCCGTATACGAAGGGCAGGTTCAGGGGTCACCAATTACTCTGAGCGGGCTGAGAAAGTTGTATGGGTTCTGCCCTCGGGGCTGCCATGTTGCATTACCGTCACAGAGTTTGCAGGTACGCAGCAGCCACTGGCTGCCGGCACAACAACCACAACCTCAGCCCCAGCACCGGACCGTATAGACGTTCAATCCCTCCTCATGCCTGAGCGGCTGGCTGGCTCCGAGTCGGCCCCCCTTTTCTTAGTGACCTGCTGGGCAGAACTAATATGTATGTCTAGACTTCCTGGGAACTCCTCTACCTGAGAATACACAGCTCCGTGCAGCGGCGTGTTCTGTACTGTGGCTACCAAATTACATTAGGAATATCTATTCATATTGTGCTAAGAGATGCGCTAAGAGATGCTTCTGAAGACGTTGCCCAGAAAGTTTATGGATTCTCTTTGTAAGAAAGTAACAATGATGTAATCTGAATCTGATCTTCTGAAAGAGTGAAGAGGCTCAGAACGTTTCCACAGTTTTAAGGGACCTTTGAGAGGTGGCGAGGTGTTAAGTCGCCTCGTGGCAGGATCCAGGGTTGGTGTCCACACACCACCTACCTGTGTGCAGCCAGCGTGAATTTTTGCTGGGTACTCCGGCTTCCGCTTACAGTCCAAAGACCCGTTCGGGGGGGGTTGTTAGGTTGATTGGTGACTCTAAATGGCCCGTAGACGTGTGGTTATATGTGTCTGTGTTAGCCCTGCGATTGACTGGCGACCAATCCAGGGTGTGCCCCGTCTCTCGCCAGATGTTCGCTGGGATTGACTCCATGCAACATTATCAACATGGCCAGATGTAGAGAGCAAACATGTACATAAAAATAGTCCTGGATAATTTTATGCGGGGGAATAAATATCCCTTGCAATTTTAGCACGCTAGCACAAAGGACGATTCTTGCATTGTCCTTCCGTAATGGCCGGATAATAAGAATTGTATTGACAATCCGCTCTGTGTTCTTAGTTTAAGACCTATGATGGATTGTGAGGATGTTCAGTTCAGCCCCCCCTTTTTTTTCCTCCCTGCTCGGGCTCCAGGCTGTTCACACTCTGCCCTCCAGCAGCCAGGCAGCCTTTTCAACACTTTGTTTGACCTGCCGGCCTCGGGTCACCTGTGTGCTTCCGCTGTGAAAAATCTAAAGCAAAACATTCGGATTCTAGGGCTCTAGATTCAGGCGTCAAGAACAGTGAACACCTGATTCACTCATTTATTCCGAACCCCACCGGAACTGATGTTCAGGCACGGGAGAGGCCCCATCCCGGCGCTGTCCAGGCCCGAGCTAACAGAAGCTGTTCAGCCAGTTGGAGTTTAAGTGGTTCCTGAATGGAGAATCCCAGAGTCTGATTCAGAGTGCTCAGCCAAACCCTCAGTAATTGCAAAAACAGCACTTGGTGCACTAATAATGGGTGCGTGTCATCTCCAATCCCCAGTCCGCCCCTCTGTCCATGCCGCAGAGGCAGCAATTACAGACTCGGGCCTTCCACTGGACGTGCACACCGTAAGGTCGGAGGAACAGTGCACTGTGTGTGTGTGTGTGTGTGTGTGTGTGTGTGTGTGTGTGTTTGTGTTTGTGGGGGCGGTCGGTTAAGGGGTGCATGAGTTACTGAATGAGGTGCATGTATGCTTCTCTGTGCGTGTGAGGACCCTGTAGGGGGCAAATGCAGACTTTTGATTGGCTCAATTTAAGAATGAGCACATATTCCTGTGCAGGAACAAACTATTTCTGACCTGATGGAAAAAGTTACAATAACATTGTGATATCAATTGAAACATTTGAGGGCTTGGAGGCATTAATGTATCAACGTTCTACTTGAATTTGAAACGTCCTTTAAGACCTTGTGTGAGCAGCACTCCGTTGGACGTCTCTCTGAGTCACTTCCTTTACTAAACACTCCCATGGCTACCCATCCATGACGCCTACAATGGCCATCACGAGGATTTACTAAAACACCAACTGATCTTTTCTGCCACGCTGCTATTGTTTTATTTGATTTCCTCTGCAGAGGCATGACGAACTGGTGTCATGGCAGACAAAGGAGCCGAGTCCTTTTCTGACCCCAAAACTAATTTGCCAGCTTAAGCTCTTTTAACAAGTGGCGGTTTCACTGGTACTCAGTTTGTTTACCCCCCGTTCTGCTTTCCCTCTATTTGTTGTGATTTTCTTTTTTTTGTGCAAGGAGCTATAATTTGAAAGTGGAGGGAAAAGTTTTAGGACCAACTAACTAACCCTACTTCACACTGATTTCTCATATTGTCTCTGCTTTAATTTGTGGAAGTATATGATTTTTGTCTTAATCTTAAATGGTGATGTTTTTTTCTTTTGTATAAATCATTTTAAGCCATCACCATCAACAATTTAGATGCATGGATCTTATTATACCGGTATTGTGTAATCAGTTCTTGAATAGCCTTTTCCTTCCAAACTTTTATTTCTTACGATTTGTTATACAACAAATATCTGCTTTTGATTTGGGTGGAAGTGTTGTTGCCTTAGAACTGTACCACAACAACCAGTCTCTGGTTACAGATGGGGTCAGAG